TTTTTTTTTTTTTTTTTTTTTTTTTTTTTTTTTTTGCTGTATCCAACAAGAAGGACACTGATTTGTCCCGATGATTATTTATTTCTCTTTGACTTTTGGGGATTTTCGATACCATTATGATTCTTTTTTAGGCTTTCTTTGCCTCGCTTGGACCAACAAATCAGCAGTGGAAATCCAGCAAGCTTGGCACCCTTACTCCCCGCATGGGAGTTTAAAGGAAGTAGAGATGGAATTGGAAAAATAAATAGATATATTTATGTATGGGGAAAATAAGACGAAAATCAAAGAAAGCTGGTAGAATAAGGAATAATCCGAATAATGGAAGTAGAAAGGTCATGAAAGACACTAATCACTGCTCTTCAATCCAATTGTCCATCTAACTCACACACCTATTAATATTTTCAGACTCCAATTGATGATCAGAAGAAAGTTTGCCTAGTTAGGTGGCCTGCCTATGAGGATCCACCAGCAATGCTAACCACCAGACCAAGAGGGATGGACATACTCCATACTATTCATGTAATTTCATCTGACCCTTTCATTCTTCAATGGAGCCAAACTTGTATTTATTTTATTCTGTTTATTTTAATATGGGAAGTGAAATAATCAGTACTCCTCTTTACAAATATATATAAAATAGAAAATTAATAAATATTAAATAATAACAATTTATTTGGTTTCTATTAATTTTTGTTTAGTTCGGGATGGTTCGTAACCAAGAGTAATACACCTACATCTCTACTACTACTCTTATTAAACCCCCCATTCCCATTTCCTATTCTCCATTTTCCCCCTCCCCTCCACTTGATCAATAAAATCACCACAACTACTTTCAAGCTAAATTGACGGGGCTAAAGGAGCAAACACCCCATTCACCACATCCTCCGACACATGCATATAACCCACTTCCACTACTACTACTACTACCACCACCACCACTACTCCTACTCAAGAGTCTCCATAGAGAAGATCGACCCATCCTATCAACCATTCCCATTCTGGTCCACCACCGCCTGTACTTTGTCTACACTAACTAAACTTACATCCTTGTTCACCATCACCACTAAACCACAGCCAAGTCTGGTCTCCTCCCCACTCAGGACCTCATCATCAACGCTTTCTGGCTCTCTCTTTCCCCTCTCTCTCTCCTGCCTGTGAATTAATTAAGATACCTCGCAAGCCCAGTCGCAGACAGGATTTCGGACTTGACCTTATCTTGTTGCCCCTCTTCTCTACTCTTCTTCCCTTTAGTCTTGCTTTACAGCCTCGGACCATTTTTGGTGACAACTCCTTCCCCCCACAACATCCTGTAGGTTTTCTTTTTGGGTACCCACCTAAAAGAAAGAAAGAAAGAAAAAAAAAAAAGAAAGAAAGAAAATTCACCTCTATTTTTCGAGGTGAATGTACGGCCAATGTTGTCCATGCAAAAAAGCTCTGCCTTTGTGTTCACTTCGTCGGAACTTGACCATCATCACGGCAACTCCACCCGCTCGGGCAGTTTTTCGGAAAACCCCGCCCTCGTTGACTGTCCGTTCGGAGACGACTCATCCGTCTCCCATCGTACTAGTATAAGTACGGATGGCATCTCCAATGAGTCGCTGGAATCTTGGGACGGTGACGGGCCGTCCGCCAGCTCACCGGCCCCCGAGCTGGAGGTGAAGATCCACGACGTGTCGCATTCGCTCGACTCGACTTTCCCGACCACCACCCGAAGGTTTACATTTAGCATGATGACTTCCCATGAAGACGATGTCGACATGGACGACGTATCGCCCAAGGTCGAAGAGTTGGATGATGCAGATGAGTTGCAGAGTATCAAACCTTTGGGGGCGGTGGATCCGATGGCCAATGCGAACTCAACCCAGTCGGACGTCACGGCTACTCCCGTCAATGTTCCACGGAAGCGCGGCCGACCTCGCAAACACCCCCTTCCCATCCCCGGTGGTCAACTCAAAATCACCAAAGGTCGTTCCAAGACAGGCTGTATTACCTGTCGGAGACGAAAGAAGAAATGCGACGAAACCAAGCCATCGTAAATACTGTCCTTCCCCGGTCTCCCTACCGAAAGCTTGTGTGATGGACGCAAAAACTGACTTTTGCTTGCCCCTTTTCTCAGTTGTCTGAACTGTCAAAAGAATGCAGTGGTCTGTGAAGGGTACCCCAAGAAAGAGGTCTGGAAAAGCGGCAAGCAGAAATTGGAAGATGGTGAGCTATAATTCCCCTTTTTTACTCCGATCTCAACTTGTCCTTGGTCTACGGTTCTGTAACTACAACAAAAATAGCCTCTCGGCCAACATGCATTCTAATCGATCTCTTCTTCTACTGCAGCTGCTCGGGTCCATAACATGGTCTCTCGGTCCCTTCCCTTTCTGATTGACGGAATTGAAACCGATATCGATCGACGCTTCTTGGACCACTTTGTCTACGGTTTCAGCCGAGTCCTGACATTGATCAACGATGATTCTAACCCCTTCAAGGAGATCCTCCTCCCCATGGCCACCCAACATCGGGGACTAATGCATTCGCTTATGTGTCTGTCCGGGTCACACTTATCGGGACTCGAGCCAGAGCCGAAGTTTATAGAGCGCAAATTCCACCATTTCCATCGGGCGATTAAAGACTTACAGCGCAACCTCGAGATGAAAGGCTCCTCGAAACCGAATAAGCCGGGAGAAGAGCCCGACCTCCTGGTAGAAGATCCGATAATTGCCTCGACTATAGCTCTCAGTTTGAACACAATATGTGAAGGCGAAACCAGGGGGGAGTACAGATTCCATATGGATGCTGCGAAATATCTCCTAAAACACCAGAAACCGAGGAATGAGAAATTTCGGCAGTTCATTGTCGAATTCTTCCAGTATCATGATGTTTCTAACTCAGTCACCTCACTCGACCGACGGCCCGCCCACCTGAATGGCGAGCTCAGACTACCCGACTTTGTGCCACACGCACAAGCAGGGATGTTTCTAGGAGTATTTGATGGACTGTTCAACTACATCTCAGAAGTGACCAGGTTGCGGGATCGGATCAGACAGCGACATGGTGAGGGGTATGAGCCAGCGGTCGATTACCAGATTTTGAGTGAGGCTGTCTCCATCGACTCAGCTATCCGGCTTTGGGAAACCTCCTACCCCCCCAACACTGCGAATTGGTCTTTGGCGCAGCTTTACCGGCAGTCGACCTGGGTGTACCTCTATCGCACCATTCGCCCCTCACAGCCAGGTGACAAGATAGCCCAGGTTGTGGATGATGGCCTGGCATACCTGGATCAGCTCCCACAGGATGCTGGTGCCTACAGCATCGTCCTGATGCCGTTGTTCCTGCTCGGATGCTCGGCATTTCTCGAGCCCCAGCGGAAGCGGATCCAGAAAGGGTTCGACACACTCAAGTCCTACTCAAACCTTCGCAACATCGAACCTGCATTCAAAGTCGTGAAGAAGGTGTGGGAAGTCATGGACTCCAACATTAAGGAAAGTTGGGATTGGGAGAAGATTATCAGTGATATGGACATGGACTTCCTCATCACCTAAGTCAGGCTTTCCACCCAGACTTGCATTACTGCCTATCGAAGTGGTATATCATCTTTAGGATCCGACAGCTTTGAAACGTTCACTCCGTTTCTTCTTCTTGCAATGCTCGCTCTCCATGTAGGAGGTGAGCAAATGGCGTTATGTGACCCATGCATACATTTTCTTTTGGTGTTTTTCTTGCTTTCTTGGCGATAGGAATGGTGTGGTGAAATTGGGACCCAGTGTCAAATTTGAGACACGAGAACAAACCCCTGTGTTCCTCTAGGGCTACGGGACAGAAAACGGCGTCGGTGCATGGTTAAGGGCACACAATCACGGACTACGCTATATTGTATCTCAAATCTTTGTCGGGGAGGTGCCTAAGGGGAAATTTCCAGATGACTTTCAGCTTTTATTGTTCCTGTATTTATATCTCCAGCTGGGCCGATGTGCTTTTTGTTGTTTAAGTGACTGTGACGACCCTTTTCTTACTTCCTTGTATAATGATTGCTGCTCTGAGTGAATAATTCAATTCAAATTATGATAAGCCAGTATTCATGATCTCTATATGGTAGGCTGCCATTGAGTAATACGTGTAAATCTACTACAATACCCTGTCCTAATGATGTGAGAGTTTAGGGTTAAGCTGTTTTAGTACTAAAGACACCAGTACTGGCAATAGTTTCGTGAAGGCAGATGATTGTGCTAGTTCACTACTGAAGTTGAGTCCACCTAACTTAATCCATCTTCTTTCGTGTTGACTTCTCCTTTTTCTGCTCCGACAAAGACATGCGAATAGATTGATGCTATATACCTCGATTAACACTGTCTAATGGGCATCATGCTTTCTACCTGCGGCGGAGAAGGACACTAACAGCAAGATTTCCCCACCACCATCCTGTACCATCACCACCGAAGCGAGCCGGCAGGACGTTATCCGAGCCAATAATTCTCCACAGCTTTTAACTAAACTCTTTCGAGTTTATGCTCCTTTCGAGCCTACTCCCCAATGCGACATAGGTAGTCAGCAACGATGGTCTGTTCCCCAGACCATTGGTCTTGGCCGCCGGCCAAGTTAGCGGTGCCTCCAGCTCAATTACCAACATAATATCATGCTCTTTGTTGGCTTCAAGGCGCTTTTCTATTCTTCTGTTTGCTATTGCTACCACAAAGGCTTGTATACACAAGGATGTTGGGAATAACCTGTTGTGGATAGGCAAACTGTTTACCATGACCAAAGACGACATCGTCCCCCTGGACGACCCAAAGAAAGGCGTCAGTGTTGAAGACCATCAGGACCAGTTTGCCGCTCTTAACCTTTTCTTTCGCGCGGTCCAGCCTGTCGACATACGCGTAAAGGATCTGTCTCTGGAAGTAGATATTTCTCCTCCGATATGGGAAACTCCCCCGTCGCAGATATGGCACCGTCTCCGGGGACAGACGACGACCCCAACGCGCAAAACTATTCTGGACGGGGTACACGCTTACATGCCGAGTGGCAGTTTGACAGCCATCATTGGCAGTAGCGGATCAGGGAAGACATCCCTCCTGAACCTTATGGCAGGTAGAATGGGGATGGCCAAGGTCACTGTCGCAGGCACTACGACCTTCAACGGCAATACTAACATTGAAAACATTCGCAGCGCGTATGTCATGCAGGAAGATGTCCTCATTCCCACATTAACTGTTCGTGAGACTCTACGATACTCTGCTGATTTACGGCTCCCGCCGCCGACAACACAAGAGGAGCGCTATCGGATTGTGGAACAAGTCATCATGGAATTAGGCCTGAAAGAATGTGCGGACACGCGGATAGGCACCAATATTCACAAGGGTTGCAGTGGGGGCGAGAAGAGGCGAACCAGCATTGGGGTACAGATGTTGGCAAACCCGTCGGTACTCTTCTGCGATGAACCGACCACAGGGCTCGATGCGACAAGTGCTTTTCAAATCATCCGAACGTTGAAACGGCTCGCTAAAAAGGGAAGAACCGTCATCGTCTCAATCCACGCCCCTCGCTCAGAGATATGGAGACTTTTTGACAATCTCATTCTCCTAGCGCGCGGGTCAGTACTCTATAGTGGGCTATCGAGCGAGTCCTTGTCTTACTTTGAGCAATGTGGCCATGTTCTTCCTCCTTTCGTCAACCCAGCGGAGTTTTTAATAGATCTCGCGGCTATTGACAATCGCACGGAGGAACTAGAAGCTGCGTCCCTTGCGAGGGTTGACCTTCTGAAATCTTCATGGAAGGCCAAGGAAAAGGTGGACAGGGAAATGTGGGAAGTCCGAAAAGACGACGAGAAGAGTAAGGAGTTAGAAGCGCAGGTACAAGACATACCGATGGCGCGGGCTGTATCTTTCGGTCAACAGTTCCGTGTGCTCACGTCTCGTACATTCAAGACAACCATTCGTGACCCCATGGGGGTCGCAGGCAGTCTTCTAGAGGCTGTAGGCATGGCAGTCATCAATGGTTGGATCTTCCTGAAGCTAGATGAAAGCCAAGCAGGCATCCGCTCCCGGCAAGGGAGTCTTTATACCGCCAGTAGCCTGAACGGATACCTCATTCTCCTATATGAGACGTATCGTCTGACGATCGATATACGACAGTTTGATCGAGAAAGAACAGAGAGTGTTGTGGGAGTCCCAGCTTTCTTGTTGAGTAGACGAGCAGCAAGATTGCCTTTGGAAGACCTACCTGTTCCTGTCCTCTTCGCGGTCATATTCTATTTCATGGTGGGCTACCGCCTGAGTGCGGGGCAGTTTTTTATATTTCTTGTTCTCACGATCCTCACCCACTATATCGCCGTGACTTTTGCGGCTGTATCCATCGGGGTCGCAAGAAGCTTTCCAGGGGCTAGTCTGGTAGGCAACCTCTCATTTACACTGCAGTCATTTGCGTGCGGCTACTTTGTGCAGTCAAATCAGATACCAGTCTATGTGCGTTGGCTAAAGTGGGCGGCATATACTTTCTATATCTTTGGGGCTCTATGTGCCAACGAGTTTATCGGCCCAAATGGACCACCGGAAGGCCAGTTTTACGATTGCCCCTTCTCTGACGACCCCCATGATCCTGCGTGTACACAGTACACGGGTCGGTACATCATGGAGAATCTGGGGTTCCCGCCTAACTGGATATGGCGGCCCATAGTAATATTGGTGGCATTTGCCGTCGGCCATTACCTGCTGGCTGGCTTGCTCTTGCAATACAACCGTTTCGCGATGGATATAGCACAAGCACGGAAGGCCGATAAGGATATGCAATCTGGGACGCAGAAGATGGCCGTACGGCCCGCGGAGAAAGCGCGCAAGGTTGCCATATCACTAGACAAGTATGCTCTTGACATACAGAAACGGGGTCTCTTCGGGCGCGGGTCCCAAACCCTGTCTATCCTCAAGCCCATCACTGCAGAGTTTCATTCAGGCGAGCTGAATGTGATCATGGGCCCCTCGGGTAGTGGGAAGACGTCGCTCCTCAATTCTATTGCGCGACGACTGCAGGGTTCCTTGAGCACGCAGTACCGGATCCACGGCGACATGCTGTACAATGGAGCTGTTCCATCAGAGAGCGTTATCCGATCTGTCACTTCGTTCGTAACCCAGGATGACGATGCGTTAATGCCGTCCTTGACCGTACGTGAGAGTCTTCGATTTGCGGCAGGACTACGACTACCTCTGTGGATGTCACGAGAGGAGAAGGACCGTCGCGCAGAAGAGGTTCTGCTTAAGATGGGACTGAAAGAATGTGCCGACAACCTGATCGGAAGCGAGCTAATCAAAGGAATCAGCGGTGGAGAGAAAAGGCGCGTCACAATTGCCATCCAAATCCTGACTGACCCGAAAGTTTTACTGCTTGACGAGCCCACTTCAGGCCTGGATGCCTTCACGGCGATGTCTATTATTGAGGTTCTGAAGGGACTTGCCGAAGAGGGCCGCACTCTAGTCATGACCATACACCAGTCCCGGTCGGATCTGTTCCAGTATTTCTCCAGCGTCCTGCTTCTTGCGCGAGGGGGATACCCAGTGTATGCGGGAGAGGGTGCAACGATGCTCGCACACTTTGAGGCACTGGGATACCAATGTCCGCAGACCACTAACCCGGCGGACTACGTGCTGGATTTGATCACGGTCGATCTGCAACAAGCAGACCGAGAAGCGATCACCCGCGAGAGGGCACAGAAACTCATCCTAAATTGGGACCACAAGACATTTGACCTTGGACGGAGGACATCCCATATCGCTACTCCGGCCGAGTTGGGCAGTTTGAAGCGACAGATGCTCCCAATCCGGATCACCTACCCCTTGGTGCTGCACCGGGCAGCGATTAATTTTTGGCGACAGCCACCGCTGATCATGGCGAGGTCGATGCAGGTCGTGGGGATCGCGATTATCATGGCACTGTTCTTTGCGCCACTGAAGAACGACTACGCTGCGGTGCAATCCCGGATGGGCTTTATCCAGGAATTTGCCGCAATATACTTTGTGGGTGCGTTGGGGGGACCCCTTACTTCTCGCTCTACTTAAACGTGCATGTGTAGACTAACAGAAAACCGGGCAGGGATGCTTCAGAACATCGCGATCTACCCCAACGAACGAGACGTGTTCTACCGTGAGGAGGCCGACAATTGCTACTCGGCTGAGACATTCATGCTGCAGTACACGACGCTGGAGGTACCGTTCGAGATCGTGTCGGCCCTCATCTTCGGTGTCCTGGCCGCATACGCGGATAATCTCGAGCGCAGCGCCAAGATGTTTCTTATTAGTGCGTTCAACTGTTTCTGCATCGTCAGCTGCGGTGAGTCGGTGGGCATCATGTTCTGCACACTCTTTTCACACGTCGGGTTCGCGGTCAACGTGACATCAATCCTACTCTCGATCTCGACCATTCTAGGGGGTGTGATGAGCCTGAACGTCAACGAGGTTCTCCAGGGAATCAACCACCTCTCGCCCATTAAATATGCCATTGCCAACCTGGCACCCTACTCTCTGCGGAACCAGGAGTTTGTGTGCACGCAGGGACAGCGACTGGCGAATGGAAGCTGTCCCATCCAGAACGGGCACGAGGTGCTCCAACTCTACAACCTGGACAAGAACGGGGCGATGAACGTCATGGCCTTAGGGGTGTGCACGATCATCTATCGGGTAGTCGCTTATGGGTTGGTGAAGCTGATGCGGTGGGAAAGGAAATGAAGCCGTAGACAAAATGATATCATCCGACCAATCCGAGGCAATCCCTAGTAATGAAGTGTCGGTCGACGTCCGAACCTGGATTTCTTAGAAAAATCAGCTTGAATGATTTTTGTTCGCCCAAGCGGCCCTTTGCCACCCCTGCCAGTTTTCGCCGTGGGTCTTAAAAAAGACTCTGCAATGACTCAAAGAACAGAACAACGATGAGTTACTAGTTCGTAGTCTCATAGACACGCAAAGATCATCGCCCAACCCCTCCTCCTCAAACCGTACCCTGAAACAAAGGCTTCCACATTGTACAATTCGAAACAACACCACAACTTTCTAAAGACTGAAAGAAAGAAACAGTACCACCTGCGCCGGGCCCAAGTAGTAGAAATGACGCAATGGACCCCCCAGCCTTGACAAGACATCAGCCAATCACAGAACAATGCCCCTTCTCCTCCAATCAAAGTCAAGCCACACTCCACGATATCCAGTGTCGGGGCTCCACCACGCTCACCAATGGCACTGAGGGACCACGAGCTACCTTACATAAGCTCTGCGTGGCCCTCAATGGTGATTAATGGTGATTCGTTGAAGACCCCAAGTGTGGGACAACAGCAATGGATTCATTAAATGGACCCGACCCACTGTGGCTGTCTGTCCCTTTCTCACGATAGATTTCTCTTTTTTTTTAATTCCCTCACTTTCAGCCGTCTTACCTTACTCTTCGGTAGTTGGGGTCCTTTCCTGACTTTGTTCCGGCACCGCTGATTGGATCCTCGCCTTGGCCAAAGGAAGGAAAACCTGGACCGAGTCACCCCCAATGTAAGGCGAAGATTGGGAAATTTAAGACCGGGTGTTGCTGACCTGACCGACCTGCAGACCGTTCCGCTTCCCCGAACAAGTAGGAATGGTGGAACGAAAGGGCAAAACCGGTGACTATTCGAGTAAGATGCACGATGGGTTTGAGTTGTTCCTGCATGTCGGTAAAAATTTAAAACAAAAAAGCAAGAAAAAAATTCGGTAGCCGAATAGCCCTAGCACATGTTAACTAGTTATTATCACTGGTAAATATGTAAGTATAGTGTCGGCAAATCAATCAGCATCATGATGCATCCACATACTCACAAATGAGAGGAGAGAAAAGAAAAAAAGAGAAAGCTACGTGTTACACTCTGATTTCACCATCCATCTTACCAAGAAAAACTAAATAAATAAAAAAAAGAAGCAGAAGAGAAGTAAGAAGCGGATATTTTAATCAATTTTTTTGTATTCCAAACTCCCACACATAACTTCGTGATCGTGATATCAAATCACCCCCTTGTATCTAAGATACAAAGAACCTAAGATACAAATATCAATCAGGAGAAGTGACAAGAAGTAAAAAAAAAAAAGAGTGAACACTCATCCAGGAGTCAGCTCTGTCAATGGTATCACAAATCTTGCCTCAAGCAAGCTGGGGAAATAAAAAAAAACAATTTCCCAGTCTTTTCCCAGTTTAAAAAGAACCAGACCGTGTGAACTCCACCCAATCGTTAAGGGATATCACATAAACCCGACCTGGTCCACCGATAAAAAGAAAAGAAAACCACAAAGTAAGAAAGACTCGCCCGGGCAGAACAGAACAGAACAGAACAGAAAAATAGCAACAAATCCCGGCGAGTAGGCGAGCCTCCTCATCCCGATATCATTCGGCCAAGACGAGGTAGAAAAGCCAAGACCACCCAAGAAGTAGTAGTAGTAGTAGAGTAGTAGTAGTAGTAGTAGTCAATTGAAGATAGGCCACACTCTACTCTACTGGCCGCCAATGTTGACAGTGAACTGAGTGTCAATAGGGCAGCCGTGAGTAGCATGGTCATCATCAGGCTTGAGGTAAGCCGCAGCGCAGGCCGTATCGCCAGCGGCACAGGTGACGGAGGGGCAGCCGCTATCGGACGGGATGACGGAGAAACCGTGCTTGGTGAATTCGCTGTCCGCGCTGAGGTTGATGAGGCTCATGTCCCAGAAGATGGTGTCGCCAGCCTGGGTGTACTCGAACTGCACCACGGAGTTTTGGTCCTGGGAGGTGGCCAGCTTGATGGAGATGCCGCCGCCGTTGTCGTTGCTCTGCCAGGATTCCTGGTAGTTGCCACCGCCCGCAGAAAGGGTGTGCATGTTACTGACTCTATCAGAAACAGACCACGCGTAGACGGTGTCAGCCAGGTTGTTGATGATGTTCACGCCGCCGGAGCCACCGCGCTTGACGGCGGGGAGGGCGGAGCTGAGGCTGGCAAGAGCAGCAATGGGGGCAACCATCTTGGAGAAGATCATTTTGATTGTAGGGGTGTTTGGTTTCTTTTTTTATGGGTTAAAAAAAGAGAGAAAGAGAGAGACGGTGGGATGGTTTGGTTATTTTTTTTTTCTTGCTTCTGAAGTAGAAGAAAAAGGAAGGAAGTTGTCTGGTCTACAGACGACGCAAGGTGCGAAAAAGAAGGACGAGATTAGATCTCGGAAGGAATGACAGACAGAGCTGATCGAAAGATTGGAAGAGAATGTCGTGGGTTGAAGAAGGAACAGAATGAAGGAATTACAGCCAGTTATATAGATTTTCTAGGATGCAGCATGACGGCAATCGTCCTCTAACTCTCGGTACCTGACAGACAAGTCAACTTTGGAACAGTAAGAACCTGAGAAAGAAAAAATCTCAAAGAACCCCACATGAGTACCCAAGGACGAGTTTAAAATGGATCCGTTCAGGGGACCAACTGTGGTTCGCTGGCTTGACATTGTACCTGGCGTTGGATTTATGGATTTGAGTTGGAGTTTGGGCGCCACGGGGCTAAAAGGTGCAGGGGAAAAGGAGCCACGTACGATGAGCGAGAGGACCTATCTATCTAGATACTGTGACCGGTGATTGACACGTTGATTTGGTTTGATCCTAAGGATCCTACAGCACTACTAGTACTACCTACTATTAGACAGTCATGCTTGCTCCTACTCTCCTACCGTGGAATCCGGGGCTGCATTCAACAGCAGTGACATGCATACAACCTGTAGTGTCCTGTGTAGATACTAGTGAGCGCATTTCTGCCATCGGATCTGTTCTTCCCTCCACGCTTCTGACCCACGCTCGGGGACCCAGACCCAGACTTTGAGCCAAACGGATCAGTTGTCCCATGCGAGCCACTCGAACACCATTTTTCTCGGCGAAAATCCCTGGGCCGTGGCAGAACCGAGCGAGAGAGTGGAAACAACATCTCTCGTGGGGAGCGGTAGGGTTTCGAGTTTCGTCGTGGAAATACTTTTCCCTCACAAAGCCCAGGAAGTGGCAATACCACGGCCCAGCCCTAACCCTTTGGTTCGGAAGGTGAGGGAAAAAGACGTTCAACTACGGTGCCACACCGAACAATGACCGTGTTGTTCTATTCCTTCGAGAAAACTTCCTGAACGGGTATCTAAGCGATCTCGGGGAGAATTCCTTTACTGTGGACTGAGCTGGGTTCCATGGTTCATCCCAGTCTTGGTGTGAGGGGGAGAAGGATAAAGGGTTCGGTTCATGTTTTTCGTCCCTGTAAGCAGTCCGTGCAAATTTTTTCACGACCAGAGGACGGAGGTTGAGGCTGGACGGGTAATGACACCGAGGCTTTTCCTCGAAGGATGACCATGGTCACTATTCTCGTACCCTTTTTCTTATTCTTTGCTCTTCGTTTCTTTTTCTCTCCTCCATCGTGAAGTCCCCCCCCCCTTCACCGGCACCATTGGATCCACTCCGCCAAGCGCCTGACTTGCCCTTTGTCACCAAACGGTCCCCTTTAGTCTCCGAGGTTTCCGCGGCGATCTCACGATAGATTCATTGTCACTTGACTAGTGTGTAGTCTAATATTCCTGGGCAGTGTTCTAGACTTGTGCAGGGATTATCATCTTATGGGCCATCGGCTCTAACTTTGGGCCTGCGACTCCAGCAGTGAAACGAGGCCCCAAAAATCAATTCACCCTCTTAAGTCATACAGTGCCAAATGATCATCAACTTGCATAAATCACACACTCGTAAGCGACCACATTACGGAGAGAGAAAAGAGGAGAGGGGTAAAAGAGAGAGAAAAAAAAAAATTATTATTAACTGAAGAATGAAATTGGGGGTAGGAGTGGTAATAGCAATAATAAAGTCTATATGATCACCAGTATGGAGCGCGGAGACCGGCAAGACTGGTCAACGATCCCTCTGCCGAGGCATCCTCGCGCTTGCGATGACCCGCCAGCTCCAAGTTGATTTGCCGGTGGATGTGTACCAGCCAGTCCACGTAACTCTGCGCTTCATTATTGCGGTCCTCCACTAATAACCGCGCAAACTCATACTCGGCCCCATCCAACCCTTGCCGTGCTAATTGGATCGCGATGGCCTTGGATCCCCGGATGGTTGAGAAATACTGCAGCAAATTGCGCACCTGCGCATTCAGATGGGTCTCTAGCACGGGTATGGACGACGTCTGGGGGTTGAGTCCTTGAAGCGATGACTGCCCGGGTCCAAACAGGTCTTCCAGCAGGTTGGGAGACACCCGGGAGTGCAGCCACAGCAGACAGATTTGGCCATTGTCCACCAGGTACGCTCCACCCTCCTCAATTTTGGAGAAGCTGGCCCGGAGAGACGGTGGCACTTGCAGTTGCCCTTGCTCATTGGGGAAGCCATCCTCTGGCTGCATGTTATGGATGGGAATGATCCGCGGATACAGGTACAGGGATAGTTCTGTGGTGCCGATAGAGCGTAACATCCGCATGTCGTGAATCCGTCGGTCCGATGCCTCTTGGCCGCCTGTGACAGTTTGTTAGCTGCTGTGCCCTTGTAATACGAATGTAGCCGCTCTTACCCTTAAATGCTCGTGATTTAATCAGGCCTAGCATGTACATGGAAAACTCCTTGAGATTCTCGGGCAGTACAAGTTGGCCGGGCGGGTGAGACCCAGAGAAGATCTTGCGATAACCACTAAAGATATCCACGGTCTTCTCTGTGATGCTGGCGCGGACGTCCTTGAGCGATTTGTCCACCGTTTTGGCAGCCGCTGTGAGTAAAGGTATTAGCTCGTCTGCTTCAAACAATCAATTACCAATGTAGAATCAACTTACCCTCTTTAGCCATAATGCTCACCACCGCATCCTGGTCTACAAACTTCATCGTCTCCAAGCCTCCTTCGTTGACGGCGGCGACCACGTTGATACAGCGCACCCGTCGCTGCCCCTCGGCCGTCGTATACAACAAGGCGGCTTGGAAATGTGCATCCAATTTAGGATCGAGCTTGCCGTCGTAATTGAAGATGACACCTATCGCCTTGTCGGCATCGATTGACCCGATCTCTAGGTCGGCCCCAAGCGCATGTTGTATAAAGTTACCATGATACGCCGATACCTGAAGACCGTTCGAGCAACGGACCTTCATCATTGCCTGGTAGCCTGTCTCACGAGTGATGGCATGTGCGAATTCCCGCGAAAGCTTCAGAATGTCCCGCGGAGCATGGAAATTGGGGTAGAAGAATGTTTCCCCGCCAGATACTTCGGCAACGTGGCCTAGCAATAATTAATCACCCTAACTCTAGAAGCAATAGCAATGCAAAACCACTTACCGATCGTAGCTACATCCGTATAGGTGCCGCCAGGTGCCGCCACGAACAGGTCTACACCAATGCCGGCTTCAGCCATTTTCCCAGCCGCTGTTCTCCATGCCTGGTTGTCCGTGGTAAAGAGCTTTCTTTCCGCATCCGTTCCATGCACCTTGGGGTCGTCTCTCATATGCAGCGCGCCGGGGCCCCATGTGGGTAAGCTACATATGGAGGCAAATATCTTTCCGCCAGTGGCTTGCAAAGCAGACAGCGCCGCATTGAGAGCCGGAAGCAAAGCTGGTTCTGGCTTTTTAAAGTGGGAGAACATCTTGGGGATTTGGTGCAGCAGAGAAGTAATGACATTCCTAGGAGTAGATGTTAGACACACGTTTTGTCACAAACTCCTACGAAAGATAGTTGCATACTTGGATTCAGAGGGGTCTACAAATAGCCCCTCGCTCAGAGGAACAAATGGCTCTTCCAAATCTGTCATCACCATCATCTGTGCCTGGTCGAGCTGTGCCTAGGAATCGTAAGTATTATGCTAAGACTCAAACATTTATGAGGACTTACACTGAGATTGTAAAAGTGCACTTCTCTATCGTAAGTGACAATGCCAACCTTTGACCCTTTAGGAACTCGACGAGCCGTTGTGTCATCCTCGGAATCATCGGACGCGCCGTACAGAGCATCTAAAATTCCTTTGCATACCCCTTTCAGGAAGCCTCTGTTCACGGATTCTTGACTGACGTCAACCAAGAAAAGCCGTTGGAGCCCAACAGGCTCTTTGTTCCAGTACTCCCTCGGGACCATGAATTCAACTGTGCCCATCATCAACTCCGGACGTTGCAGACGGTCAACTCGTGCCCCGGACATATCCAGAGGGGCAAAGTATTCTGGTGCTACCTCGTTGGGGAAGGCACACATGTTGCAGACAAACTTATTTCCTCCAGACTTGAACGTCATAAAGGGATTAATGTAAGCCCTACACCTCCGGCATCGCGGAGGCCCCATTTCGCCAAAATCGAGTACTGGGACCTCAGGTTCGCCGGGGTCAAGACGAGCGAGGGGTTGTAGGACCATTCCTAGAGGCAGACCGGTGGAAGTGAGAAAGTCGGAGGTGGTGGGGATGTTGTTCAATGTCAACCGGGCATGTTTGGGGGATGAGTTTCCTTGATCGTGGGCCACGAAGGGGACAGCTGCGGGAGGGGGCAAATGCCGTTCCATTGTAGGATAGACATGGTTGAAATAGTATTGCGCGGGTACATCGCGAGAGCGAGGGATACTTGGGATCTGCTCTGGATCGATTTTGCCTTGAGTAGCGACTGAGCCAGCGCCTGTGCCTGGAATACCTGGCTGAGGAGCTATGCCCGCCGGGGGAACACCAGCAGCGGGTGAAATTGGACGTGGCACTTGGTTCAACCCCGTATTCAAGAACTGGGACCCTGGCTGCACGCCTGCGGGTGGCACTCCGGCAAATTGCTGAGGACCTGGAGCGGTGGCACCTCCGATATCATGGTGTGCATGCCGATGTTTCTTCTTCCCTGAGCGGGCCCCGCTCTCTCCCATTATACCCAGGCCACTCATCTGCGAAGCCAATCCCGCCATTGCCGGGTCTGCAGGAGCTCCCATATGTGGCTGTGCCTCCGTACTGTAGGCAAGTTGAGGACTAGGGGCTAGACCCCGCGGAGGTGGAGGCTGCAGCTGATGTGGTGGTGCTGCTGCAGCTGCAGGAGCACCATATTGTTGCGGGGGAGGACTCCCGTAGTAAGCCCCAGGTTGGGGAAGATAAGGACCGGGAGCAAATCCTGCAGCAGGTTGGGATTGCGGAGGAAGTTGGTGAGCCATTCGATCCGGATTCGAAGGGTCTTCAGCGGGAACGGTGCCCTGACCGAGAGAGTGATATATCGTATGGTCTGCCATGGTACTTCATAATTTTGTGGACGGAATTAATAGATAGAAAATGTGTTCATTCAGAGCTCAGGCCGATTAGCACCGATCCATCACTAGGGGAGGGCTTGGGAGAAGGAGGCAAGACAACACGGAGTATACAGTTAACCCAATCAAGCAACTGACCACCTATTCTTGAAGCCGAATCGGACCTAAGTTGTTCCGGGCACCTCGCACGGGGTATATCTCACCCTAATCAATCTAATCAAACACTCCCAGAAGACAAGATCGCTGTGAAGTCGACTTCAGATATAGAAAAACAAAAAGTGATTCCAATGGAAATTGATTCGTTCAGATAATCTCCGAGTTCTGGTCATCCCGAGCTTTCTCTCCCCTTGCTGCGCTTATCAATATTACACAAGGCCTCACGATAAGCCCCTTGGCCTCATCATGTTCTTTGTTTCTTCCAATATAGGAACGATTCGTTCTCCCTGACTCCGGCATATTTATTCTTCTTGGAAGACGCGGTGGATTTGGACTGTGTAATTTAACTCGTTACCTGCAATCTTTCGGGAGCTCGCTGTTATATGTCAAACTATCTCGACACCGTTTTAGATCGGCGGGGCTTTTCTCACCGTCTCTTTTGTTTTTTTTTTTTTTTTTCAACCTGTAATGCACTCACTTTTGCACGCTTGGCCTCTCATACAAAAGTACTACCTTGAATGTATTGCTAAGTCAGCAACATAAGTTGGTTCCCTACTATTGTTTCCAATTGGAGGGAGAGAATATTCACAAACCGCATTAAGCAAAGCATACTATATCTTCTCATAGTGCCGCATACAATGGCAACCATTCAGAACGACGACGAGCGTCTTCTAGCCCGAATTGGTTATAAACAGGTACCGGCTTAACTGAAGCTTGATACACTACAGTCTTAACTCCCAATCGCGCAGGAATTACGTCGGGAATTTTCCAAATGGTCCACTGTCTCTTATGCCATCTCCATCCTAGGGATCTTAGGCTCAGTCCCTGCAACTTTTGGCTCACCCTTGGCTGCTGGTGGCCCAGCGACAGCCGTATGGTGCTGGTTCTTCGGCTCGTGCATGGCGATGTGCATTGGCAGTTCTGTGGCAGAATTGGTTTCTGCATATCCCACAGCCGGAGGAATGTACTTTGTCACTAAACACGTTGTCCCAGAAGAACAAGTACCGATCTTTTCCTGGATACAAGGGTGGTGTAACCTCCTGGGACAAACTGCCGGCGTGTCCAGCGTTGCCTACACAGTCAGTCAGATGCTACTTGCCTGTGTCAGCATGAATTCTGAGCTGGTTGATGGGAAGTATTCATATTCACCGTATGGGCCTCTTTTCTTTACTCTTTATCTCGAGTTAACTGGTGCAGGACCGCTCTGGAAACGGTTCTCTTGTCCATACTCCTCTTGTGTATCTTGGGCGCGATATGCTCTTTGACGACGAAGAGCTTACACCGCATTGTTTCTTGGTTTGCCCCAATCAACAGTATGCATGGTATCCACATAATCATATCCTCAGCACTAACACCCATAGTCTCCGCAACAATTATCATCTGTGTTGTGCTCCTCTACTACACACCCGATAAACAAACCGCTGGCTGGGTCTTCACCAACTTCACCGATGGATCCGGATGGGGCTCGAAATTCTTTTCCTTCCTGCTAGGATTCATATCCGTAGCATGGACGATGACAGACTACGACGGAACCACCCAGTGCGTTCCCATATCTTTCCCCTCAAGTATACAAGAATTCACACCACTAACCCTAAAATAAAGCATGTCCGAAGAAACCCACGACGCCGCAACCCTAGGACCCCTAGCCATCCAAACTGCCGTCCTCGTCTCGGGCGCCCTAGGCTGGATCCTCACCGTCTGCATGTGCTTCTGCCTAAGCGACTTCGAAGGCATCCTAAACAGTCCCACGGGTCTTCCCGCCGCCCAAATCTTCCTCAACGCGGGCGGAAAGCGCGGAGGAACAGTAATGTGGGGATTCGCGATCCTAGTTCAGTTCTTCACGGGCTGTTCGGCCATGCTAGCAGATACTAGAATGGCGTATGCGTTTGCGCGCGACGAAGCACTCCCGTTTTCCGCGTACGTTACCTACCTCCTAAGGACCTATTTCAAAAACCGAACTAACAAAATTTCAGCGCCCTTTCGAAGATAAATAAAGTCACCCACACGCCCGTCAACGCCGTCTGGTTCGTCGTCTTCTTCAGTGTCTGTCTTAATTGCATCGCCATCGGCTCGACCGAGACTGCTACCGCGATCTTCAGCATCACGGCCCCGGCACTCGATATCTCCTACGTGTCGGTGATCTTGGCGCATAGACTCTACAGGAAGAGAGTCAAGTTTATTGAGGGGCCGTTTACGCTGGGGAAATGGGGCCCGTATATCAATTGGGTTTCTGTTATCTGGGTTTTGTTTATTAGTGCGGTGTTGTTCTTTCCGCCGCGTGTGCCGGTTACTGTTGTTAATATGTGAGTGTTCTTCTTACCTCGCTTGTTTTTGCTGCTATCTGCTGCTCTCGTCGATATGTGAGTGATGACTGGCTGACTTGATTACTAGGAATTATGGGATTTGTGTTGGCGCGTTCATTGCTGTTTTTGCTTTGGTGTGGTGGTGGGTTGCTGCTAGAGGGTAAGTGAGGCTTTTCTTTTTTGCTTTCTTTTACGGTCGTGTAGTGAGGATGTGTGGTTGACACTAGAGTCTTTCGAATAGGACATACAAGGGTCCTCGAACCGATGATCATGTTCAAGAGGTATCTACAGAGGATCTAGGTGGTAGTTATGGAGCTGTTGACATTGCATACACAACCTCTCGAAACTAGTTGGAGGACTTCAGGTCGGGTCATATGCACATTTAGATTACAGTCGCACTTTGGTTAATGGCTATCGTCGCTGTCCTGGTCTTTTGTAGCCTTAAAATTGCTCAGTAGGTATAGGTATAACTCTAATTTACAGCCAATTCCCAGCAACAACAGCAAGTCCTTCGTAGATCTTCCTCTTCACGTCAAGGAAGCTACCGGCTCCACGTCCTACAGCGGCCGCAGATTGGGCCGAAGCTTCAATTTCGATTTTCCCTGTGCCTGATTTGCGGACAGCAACCATGCGGTCAATGAGGAGCGTTCCTTCACCACGAAATTCGGCAGTGTGCCCGGCCCCCTGCATGAGCTTGCGAAGGTCTGCCAAACGGAGATCACCTACGTGGAGAGGGCGTGTCATGGATCTTGTTCCTGCTGCCATATTGACCGGAAGAATATCGAGCACTGGGTATATATCGGATTTTTCTGCTGTTGGTTTCGTCCCGTCGACGGTGGGGGCGGTAGCTTGTGAGCTGACCTCATCTTGCAATAGTTTTTGCTTTTTACTTGGGGAGTCTGCTGAGTCCGGGGGATCCAATTCTGGTCCCCTTAACTGCGCCGTCAACGTCACCACGCCGAGACTACGGACATGCTGCCATTTCAGGCGCCGGACGAGGCTATTACTCAATTTGACCATCCACGCGTTAGTATCGACGCTAGCGTCAATAACCTCCCCATTGGCTGGGGTGAAAATCACAGCAGAATCCGCCGAGGACACATCGACTCCAGCCTTAGCAGCGAGGAGCTTCTTGCATTCGGTTGCCAGTGCCGTGGTCTCCTCCTTCATCCCACCCACGAGAATCAATTTTCGCGGTTGGATAAGGGGAATCAGCATCTCCAAGCTCCGCTTATCGTGCAATCCTGTGAAGTCCACAAACGCAAGGCGAGCATTGATGGTGAGGTTAGCCTTCTGATAGACCGCTTTCGCTGGCCCCTCGAACGTCTGCCCGTCGACTTCGTCTTCCGATTCCAAGGCAGCATCAGCACCATCTCCATCCTCTGTCAAGCTCATATCGTCTGCGATGCTGGCATCCTTTCTTCCAGCAACCTGTTGGCGTTTGGCTCCGCTGGCCGACAGCCGTCGTCCGCCCGGCCCTGTTTCGTCCCATCGTCGTTTCTGACCAAGCTTAGTCCGAGAATCAGTTCTGCGCTGCTGCATATCGATCTCTTCGCGCTCTTCCGCTCGTAGGTATTCTTCAGGTCGGATGAACTCTCCATACTCGTCTCCCTTCTTTTTTGGTGCCACATATGGAAACATCCGTTCGCGGCCCTTCTTGCCACGGACGTCCCAGTCGAAAACATTCTTCCGCCGTAAGAGGATGTTAACACCAAGATCTTCGTCGCTAAGACCAAGTTTGTTGCGATTGGAGTGGGCCAGGGCAGCCGAGAAGTTTAGGACCCGTCCCTGCTGCTCTGTCTCGGAGTCTTCGGACGTGGAGCTAGATCGATCGTCAAGCGCATCCGCTGCGGTATCTAGATTTTCTTGGCCCCTTGCTTGGGAAGTATCTTGTAGTTGCCTTTTCGTGGCGAGATATTGTTGATAGAGTAGTTGTTCACCAGGCTCTAGAGGTGCACGTTGCACGTCTGACCAGGAAAGCTCTCGACCACCACTATGGACTTGCTCGATCGTCTCACCATCGGAAGCTTTCTCTAAAGCGACGCCATCCTTTCTTTCTTCATACCATTCCCAAATCATACCACCAAGGGTCTTCCTATAGGGTTCTTCCCGGCCGTCGACTAGCCTCTCTCTATGAAATGACTCGGTGAGTAAGAGCAGATTGTTCTGACCTCCCGCTATCAGGCGAAGCGATTCTTTTGCAAAACCCCAGTCCAGTGACGTGTCAGAAGCCAGGATAACTTTAGGCGCTTGGTCGTTCAGAACCTTCTCTAGCCTCTTCTTCCGCTCAATGATCTTCAGGTGCTTGAAAGTAAAAGGGCCTGTCCCCTTCTCATCTTTGCCCTGATTTTGGCCAGAGCGTTGGCTACCGGGATTAGTTCGAGACTGGCTCGTAGCCGCATCTACACCCTCCGCGGCTTCGAATTCTCGCACAATATTCTCGTCCATCCACTCTAACATACTCCGAGCTAATCTCATAGTGGTGTTAGCCTTTCTACCTGCTAGGTACAGCCCAGCCTCTTTTAGCACATTATCCTCCTGTCCAGTTCCGGCAGCATCACGCCACGCATGCTCCAGCGCATATGCCAGTTCTAGGACACGAGCGCTGGTATCAGTAGGAATCAAAACAGTGCCTCCTTTGGCAAGAGTGCTTCGAATCATATCCAACAGTAGGTCATCCCTCTTCTTCCGTCCTCCTGGAAGGGCAAACTTGTCGCCTCCTCTTGTACTGCAGACTAGCGCGGTAGGTTTGCGCAACTGCTCGATGACCTCTGTTCCACTAGCGCCTGAGCCTCCAAACCACGCGGCACCTGCCATGACACTCTCTCGGGCTTGGTTCCAATCGACCGCATAGACTATCGATTCCATGCCATGCTGTATATGCCATATTGTTCCTCCAACCGTGTGTCCGGCATTGTAAGCCGTGAGGGTAAGGCCGTTCAATGGAGGGGAAAAGGGGGAAGGGAGTGGCTGGTGCGGTTGCGAGTATTTTAACGGATGAATCAAGGAAAAATATCTGGCAATTTCCTCCGCGTTAGGGGGTTGGAGGAGGATTCTCCCGGAGTGGCTAGCATCTGTGGCTCCTTCGCGTTCCGGAGCGGATGCTGCGGCGGATGCTGCAGAGGTGGACGCGCCCGGCTCCGAGATTGAGGCTTTTGGTAGAAATGTCGCGGCTAGCGGCGATGATGCGTACAAATCTTGCAAAAGTGTGCGGCCAAGCGCGATGACAGGACTCGTGGCGTAGACGGGAATTTGGGTGAAAAGAGGGAAGACTTTGCAGCAATGCGCGAAGGCACCAATATGCGCGGGGGTAGCGTGAGTCAGAAGGATCAACGAGAGGGTGGGAATATGTCTATTACGGATCAATCAGAGAAACGATATTGGAAAGAAAGCAAGAAGCTAGTGGCTATGGAGTCGCGATTGAAGGAGCTTACTTTTCTAGTTCCTGCAAATCCAGAGGGTCAAAGGTGTCATCCCAGCCAACATCTACAAGAATCTTGATTCCCCCATCAAGCTCTAGAATCGACTGAGAAGCCTTCGAGGCTGAGGACTGTGCGCCAAGTAGAGGTGTGAATGTAAACATCTTCGCAATTTTGGCGTCACTCGTCACCCAAACCTAGAAGTCGGCGACGGAGCTGTATTCGTCTCGGACACTCGGCGGTAGAGTGCTTCCAGTCGAGTCATCGAACTAAATATAGAACTGATCAAGATATAGGAAAATAATTACAACATCATTGATTTGAATATGTTAGAAACCGCAATATATTGAGGGGGAAGGAATAGAGTTGCTCGAGGAAATGGAGACCACGATTGAAGCATCACGACCCGGCGTTTGTCTTGTTTGCATCTACCCAGACATAACAAGATCACGGGCACAATGCTCGTATTCGTATATGATTGAACCTCCACAATCATTGAGCGAGCATTTACGACTGTCCCGAAGCCATCGTCTATTTATTACATGGGCAATAATCTTCGACTCCTGGCTTAATTCTCTAAAACAGACCGGGCAGTGGGATGAGACTCCAATTGTCATAAAAGATGACGGATAACAAAGGTCGATCTTCTTCCTGGACTAGGCCTGTTTCTTCTTGGATCATTCTCATGAGGTCGGGAAGGAGGGAGTATAATATAAACCTAGGTCACGAAATGCCTTTGATATTGGGACGAGGAAATAGAACACCCATACTCGATCCTTTCATACAGGTCATCTAAAGCCCATATTTGGGATAATACGGGGCCTCTTCACATTGATCTACACTGCATTTATTAGCAGACAGTCTGTGCAGATGGTTGAGCCTGGCTTCTTCCACCGAGCGTGCAACAAGATGATTGGCTCATACCTGAACGTGTAATTCTCCGTTCTTGGATGAAGAATGTGAGATGCAATGCGGAATGTTATTACCAAATGACTACCTCATAGTCACCTCGAAACACAAGATTAAGAACTTGATAAAATTCGGGACGAGTAGGTATACAGCTAATTGCATCATTTTATGATCTTAAAAGCATACAAGAAAAGACAAAGGAACATGCTCAGTACCAAGAATGCTACAGTGAACCAGACCCATCTATACCCACCAAGTGGCACAGGCTGGTCTTCATCCATACTTGCCTTCCGCAACGCACGAGTCGGCCTTTTTTGACCAAGTTCAACGTCTACCTCGTTGTGGCCCTCGGTGGGTTCAAAGTATATCCAAGCAGCCTGCTGGTCAGAAAAGTCCGGCTGAGTGGGAGCTTGTGGAGTGTCAGCTTTCTCGTTGGTCCCAACGGTTGTAAGCTGCTAAGAAAAAAAAAAAAAGCTTCTGCTGGTGTTTCTGCATACCTGTCGACCCGGCTATCAGTGAATGCTCATGGTCAGGACGCGTATACCTCCTATCATTGTTGATTCCTGACGAGTCGGACCATGACTGAAAATAGCATGTAATTGGTGCCGGTGGGAGGAATGGCAGTGGATCCTCGCCGTGTCCGTCTAGAATCTTAGACCTTACGTATCGCCTGAACAACGGATTACCTAGACTATCCTCAAGCCATCTATATGCGTATTCATATATCATATCATCCGTCCACCCATACCGGGAAAAGACAGTACCAGCATCGAACACCCATCGTGGCGCTAATTTTCCCCGTGCAAGGTGTGAGTGAACATGTTCGATTCGCCAACGCGGCATGGGTGCATCGACCCCAAATGAGATAGCTGGGAGAAAGTTTGCTTGGGCATATCTCGCAATTAACCCTGCATTGTGGCTAGAGAACCTTGTAGGACTTTGACCCCCAATCCGGGCTGGGGGAGGCTGCGTAGGAAGACCAATTGGACTCTGCGAGTCAGACTCCTTGAGTTGCATGTATGAAGAATCATATCTAGACTTTAAAGCTAGTTGTTGTAATGCAGCTCGCGCGTTGGCCAGGGTACGCGAAGGGAGCGGTGCTCTTGACGAATAGAACTGAGGCTCTTCAGTCATATCAACAGGGGTGTTCGGGTTAGGGCGTGACCCCGTCTCGAGGCCAGAGGCCATTTCAACGTGTTGAAACTCTGGGCTCCCGGGGTCAAATGATCCCTGGATATCCTTTTTGGAACATGACTTGTATGGTGTCACTGACGGATTCGACATTGCCATTATGTAGATTTCGTGCGATCAACCATGAGAGACCTCTTCCCAGCCTATACGGGTGACAAAATCTCGAGTTTGGGGCTCATACATTCCCCAAAGCTTTGTTCGGTCCGACTGTAGGATATGTTACTAGTCAACGGTCCGTATAATATGTATACCAGTGTGTTCATAACAAAAGTGTCACAGTTGGATCTGCAAAGAGTTAACGATAGAAAACACTATGAGAAAGATATGTTAGGACAATTGGGAAGATAAACTGAGCGAATAGTCGCTAACGTAGCTCCAGTAGGCTCCTTACTGCTCATATAGCCAAAATTGAATATGGCAAGCGAAACCACCTGAACTCCAGGACTCAGAGATAACTCCACCACTCTTCAGAATAGCAAAGTGCTGCTGTACTTAATCAATCGACTGAGGACCTGACATCAACATAGTATTCTATACAACAGGTAAGCTTACCTAGAACCTTGCTCTGGATGTTGATAGAATTCAGTTTGTAGGGTATGAAGGCGAAAGGATTCGTACACATGCAGGCAGAATAACCAGACAGAATCGTTATTCTGTTTTTAAAGCAAACTCTTGGAGAAATACTAATGGGTGGCAAAAAGGGAGAGACAAATTAGGGGGAAGACGAAGGAAAAAAAGGCACCCCTCTTTGCCAGCCATTTGACATTCATGAGATATCTGTGTCCTGTGCGTCCGACCCAACCACATACTCAACTACAAAGGGGATCAAATCCAAGGAAAATCACACTTATCTCAGTAATGCTTCTCTGTACAACTTAATCCTTCATCTGACTGATTGCGCAAACTACATCCCTAGCAGAAATTGACTCCTCCCTCTTCCGGTGACTTCTCTTCATGAGTTTCGACCAGAGAAGCTAGCTCCGCTATGGGCAATACTTACAAGGTTGACCATCAGAAAAGTAAGCATACATTCCTCGGTAAATTGCTAAGGTATCTGATTCCGATCATCCGATAAGTAGTCTCCCTAGTCGGGAAGATCAGCAGTGTTGCTCTGCAGGGCTGGAATGCGCTTGTCGGAAGGTTTCTTGCAAGTTTGGAGTCTGAGCATCTACTCGGAAGACCAGTCTGACTGATTTCTCCCTTGATGAGTCATGAAAGGTATACTACAAAAAAGAAACAAGCCAGCGAAGAGCGGAGCAACGGTCAGACGACTATCAAGGCAAACAGGCAGTGATGAAATGATACTACTTCGTAAGCCCATACCTTGTCGTATGTACTTTTAGGTCACAGGCCCAGAACGTTTGAACACCAAGGAAAGGTATGGCCTTCACATTCCACATCCCAGTCCGTGAGTGGATTGTAGGTTTTTACATACACCATGACAAAGAATGAGTCATGCTTCATAGACGTCAACGGGCACACAAACAGGTGCAACACTCGTCGTTTCAGAGCCAATTACCGGGTTGTACGTACTCTGTAGAAAGGATTCCTTACTTGCCACAATGGGACATTACACCTGGCTTATTCCATGTCCACAGGAGGGTGAAAAGAGGCATGGGATAATATAATAGAGATTCACAGTACATAGTCGTAGCAAATATCACGAAGAACTAGCCATCAAAGTGTTGGCGCCCACGCTTCATAGAATATACAATAAAGCAGAGATATGGAAGCATGCACCGCCTAGAAAAGGGCCAGGTGTCCCCAGGGGTTTCGGGTAGGATTCATTGCCAATATCTTGGCTCATCAAAAACATGATAGCGATGACCGCGGACTCCCTGCCCGCGGAACAACCCAGGGAATCGGCGGCCTTGTGGCACCATTTCCTCTGGGAGACGCAGTTCATTCTCCGGCTCAGGTTCTCCAATGACGAATTTGCCAACCTATTAGAGAAGCCAATTAGTAAGAATGAAACAATTGCCTCTACTTTGCAAGGAGCTATACGAGGGAATTAATAAGTGTGTTGCTAGACTTACCTGAATCTCTGTGTCCGTGATAGAGTCCCGGCTAACACGAGCATACCCAGTTCTCTTGAGATTCTTGTAGAGGATGTACTCACACCACCGGTCCCAATCAGTAGGATCGATATCTTTCATGCCGCTAAGTTCACTGACATAGGTATTGTAATTACCCTCGAGCGGTTTTGTGACCAGGTAGCTCAACAGGATCAGGGGACGAGGGGATGAGCCCATGAGCTTTGCCAAGTATTCTGACTGCAGACGGCGGTCTTCCGGGTCTTCTTCTTGCCCTGAATGGAACACGACAACATCAACGAGCTCACCATACATATCGAGAGTGGCATGTATGGCGGGAGCAAGCTCACCCACAGGGGAGGGAAGTAGATGGTGAGTCGAATTGACGATAGGGAATTTGGAAAGCAAGGCTGAGCCCCAAGTGTGTTTATTAGGACCAGGGCCAAAGTCTGCGTACATGCCAAGATCTTCCGCTAGATTTTGAGTCATATCACGATTGCCCATGATGATGCGCTGGTTATCAGACTCCAGAAGGCCAATAACGTCAATCTCAAGTTCCTGGATGACATTCCGCATACGCCGCTCAGATGACCACATATCATTATCAAGGCCAAAATGGACTGTCCAAATACCGACAGTTGCAACTTTATCATCTTTGTGATATGGCACATAATCGTTCGTCGGGAAGCGAAGATATGCAACAGTCATAGAAATAAGCTGCAGTGCCGCTAGGATATAGATAAAATAGGATCGCTGTCTCTTGCCATTTGGACTGACGATTTTGGTCTTAGTACCGGAGGAGTTGGTAACAGCGGCAGAGAAGACGCCGGCTCCAAGTGATAACATCGTAGTGATCATAATCCAATCCGTGTGTTCTCTGACAAGCGGCCCGCCAGGCACAAAGGCATAGGCAACAACCCACACATGGAAGAGAATCATAAATGTGTACAGGAGGAAGCCGATGCCAAAGGTCTTCGCTAGTGAATGGCGGACGGCTGAAGAAATTAAGACAGGGGCCACTGCAAGAAGGTAGAATGCTAGGATTAGGCCTCCGTAGAATCCGGTCCAGTGGCTATAGCACGTAAGCAGTGTCGCACCGATAGATGCAATTCCAAACGCGGTCCAACTTCCCGCCACACCAGGATAGTATAGACCATAAACAAGTCCAGCTCCCATAGCAAGAATAGTGAGCGCACCGTGAGGTACTGCAATAGGACCCCGCACGGGATATCCTTCCCAAACCCAAGCGATCATGGTGCTAGAGTCAGAGAGAAGGGAATGCATTGCAAAAAGCAGACCACCAATACCGAAGGCGGCTAATATGGTAGAGCCTTTCTTGCCGGTCGATGGGAGGTAGTCCCCTCCACTAGTCGGAGGCCTTCTATGCGATCTGAGAACAGCAAGGACACCAAGGAGAAGTCCCAATTTGTTCCATCCTCCATTCTCTGCATGCATGATAGGCCAGATGGGGTTGTTTGTTTTGCAGGCAAACTTAGCAATGCTTGACATAATCAAGCCAATGCCCCATGCAAAGATACGGGATTCTAGTCTAGAGCTGTTCGCTCGTTCGGCATATAGTGTTGCAGACCATGCGATGCAGCTGCAAGCAACAGCGAAGGTCGTCACAAAGAGTCGATTGGCAGGATCTTGCACCTTATACGCCAGTAATCCCGAAAGTGAGAGGAAGTGGAAAAGACGAGGGTTTCTGGTGGCCGCAGATTTCAAAGTGGGTATGGCCAGGAGGACCGGGGATACATAGCTGAGGATAGCTAATTCATAACCAGAGATACCCATGTGCCAAAGAGGGAAGTCTATCTTTATCAGAAGGTTGCATAAACACTTGTCCACTGACACTTACACCAAACCAGTACACCCAGAGCAGTCCACAAGGACCAAAAGACAAACTACACTTGGTCAGTACTTAGGTCCGCTTGTAAACCCAGTCTAAGAATTACCATATTGTAGGCATCTGCGGCAGCATCGATGATCTCTGCCCAGAAGAAGCCTTCACCGAACGTGTTTCCGACGGGCTTGCCTTTCCTACCTACGAGTTAATTGCCATAAGTTCAGGTCTCTGGAGATTAGATTATACACACTCTTTTTCAAGGATGGAGTCGGCAGTAGTCTTCAACTGCCTGGAGATTGGGATCTTAGAGCTCTCTTCTCAAACACCAACAACCAAATTTTGGCAACCGTACATTTCTCTTTTTGTTTTATTTCGGGAGCCACTGTACATACCCTCTGCTAATCCCCTTGACATCCCTAACCACAATCTCGAATGCGTCGAAGTCAAGCGCGGTGACCGCATCGAAACCCACGTCAAACAAGATAAGAGACCATTCAAAAAAGGCGTACTTAGTATAAGCTAGACAAGAAAGAAAGTTAGAGGCATGACAGAAAGAGAAATAGAAAGCCACAGCGGCATCCTCACCTCCAGCGACCTTATGCACCTTGTGCTGGATGAAATAGTAAATCAATGGTATGAGTGTCCCAAAGAAACAGCTCGCTAAGATCTTCCGGTACTTCACAGCGCGTCGGTTGTTTGGGCTAAGCGCAAGGCAGCCAATAGTCCAAGGCAAAGTCGCAACCAGATACGAGATCATGAAAATATCGTGCCAGTCATGATCATCCGTTGATGTAACATACGTCCAACCTCCACATGTAAATGTCCGGAACAGGCCAACCCCAGCGATAAATTTAGGGAGAGTTGAGTTGGGGCGCGAGGTTAGAATGTACCAGAGGAACACAAGAGCGAACCGAGGTCCCGAGGTGATAGCGATAAACACTTGGAAGAAGGACCGTTCAGGATAGCGATCACCAATTGTTGCTGACACAGAAGGAAACCATTCGTCAGGGTAACCGTAGTGTTCGTTTTGCACGATCTTTCGGAAATGCAGAGACATTCCTACTACCAAGGCGCTGAAAAACGCCGTGTAGGCAGCCACTGTGTGCGCCCAAGAGATCCATTTCCCATTAACCTGGTATATGTTCAGCAAATCTTAAAAAGACCTCAATTCTGTCGATAACGAAGACTAACCGCTACAACGGCATCCCCGTCTTTGAATTTGGGTGCCATGGCAGCGCAGAAGACAGGTGGGCCAGTCTCCGGGCCACTCAAACGAACGAGGGGAGTTGAGAAGGTGAAATACAACAGTCAAGTAGGCAAAAGAGAGTCAAGAATGTAATAATAATGTGAAAGAAAAGAACAAAATAACAAATGGAAAACGAAACAGCAATTCAAGGTCAGGAGCCCCTGAAGCAGATGAACGTGAGATGGCTTGACAATAGAACTGAGGCTCGGTAACTTGCGGCTGTCAACATGCGCTAGCCCGGGTTAGGAAAGCGGACAGGCACCCGCCAACTTGGTCGGAGCTTTTGATTGCGGGATGCCGACAACTTTTTTTATCATTTCATTTCACGAGGTATCTCACAACCATGTCTGCCGCTACAGACAAAGCACGTTTCTTTTTGGAAAAATCAATCCCTGAACTCAAGGAGTATGAGCGGAAGAAGATATTTAACAAGGTACTTATATCCACACTGATTATCCTACAAACCAATCGCGGAGAACTTACACACCGTTTGCATTGCATAGGATGAGATCTCAGCAATCATCAAAAGACGATCAGACTTTGAGCACAAGCTTAACGCTCGCGGCGCACAACCTTCCGACTTTGTACGCTATGCAGAATACGAAATGAATCTCGACACTCTCCGGCGCAAAAGGGTGAAACGACTCGGTATTCGGGGTGCAGGATATTCTGGCCAACGGCGGATTTTTTTCATCCTGGACCGCGCCACTCGCAAATTCCATGGTGATATTGGTTTATGGATTCAATACGTTGAATATGCAAGGGCTCAGAAAGCATTCAAGAAGCTTTCTATAATCTTCGAAGATGCCCTACGACTACACCCAACGAACGCGGATTTGTGGATATATGCAGCGCAATATGCTTTGGATGATCACGCAGATATAACGCAGTCCCGAAGCCACATGCAACGTGGCCTAAGATTCTGCAAGAGCTCTAGGAAACTATGGCTTCACTACGCGAAGCTGGAATTGATCTATACAGCCAAGCTTATTGCTCGACAGCGTATCTTGGGACTGGACCGCGAGATTGAAACCCCCAACCCGGCGTTGGATGCTTCCTTTGAAGATCCCAATGCCGACACGATTGCGCTACCAAAAATCACTGGGGAAGACATCAACCCGAGCACAGGAGATAATGATGGTGTGGACCAAGTCGCGTTGCAGAATCTCAATTCAACGCCCGCACTAAGTGGTGCGATCCCCTTGGCCATCTTCGACACAGCGATGAAAAACTTTGAGCAAGATGCCAAATTTGGTCGGGAGTTCTTCGACATGGTTTGGGAATTTGGCGACTTGCCTTGTCTTCGTAGAATTTTGGAACACGTCGTCAATGCGTTGCAGCAGTCCAGGCCTGGCAGCCATCATACGCAAATCTGCTATATCAAGCTGCCTACCGCTGGAATCCAGCCCACATCACCCGACTTCCCGCGCGCCCTGGTTACATCGTTTGCTCGGCTGAAAGAGCACCGCGAGAACCTCGATGTTGCAAAGGAGGCCATCAATTGGCTGCAGCCACTGGCAAATGCAGAAGGCCTTGATCCCTCTCTGCAAAAAGCCATCGCTGCGACGGTCTCCAACACGGAACGTGCCATCCAGCTTTAGAAAATGCTTGTTCTTGTTACCTCGTACCCTTTTCACTTCTCTGCTGTCATGTACAGGCGCCCATTGGAGTTCATTATCGCACATTGGTGGTTTATAAAAAAGTTAGCTCTTCCTCGATCAGTCATCAAATTTACTACCCCGTCGATTGCTCTTCTTACTGCTATGCAGTTTTTTAGCTTTGATTCTAGATTCATTTTCGGCATTTTTCCTGTACAGCGTGAGTAGAGGTCTTCTGGGTTGTTGTAGAAGTAAACCGAGTCAATACGGCGGCGTATATAAACATACAATTTATGTACCCGGTCTCTTTGCTCCTGAGAAGTCTCTCCGGGGATGACATCTGCAGCAGTAGCTTTGAGTAACTGGTGGAGTTTCTCGTAACACGACTCCACATTGGCAGCTTGTTTACGCGATTCTTCCGATTGTATGACTAGACTCTGCGATCTCTCTGCGAAGTAGCGCGATGACCGCAGCGGACGATGTAGAATTCGAGGTACGAATGGTAACAGAGACTGGAGCGGCACTTTCAAAGTAGCTTTTGAATTTACCCTATTCAGATCCGCAACGCCCAGTTAGTGATATACGTTGACGCAATCGGATGTTTAGACGAGGTCGACCGACTTGTTCACGTTCTGTCCCCCAGGGCCACCGGAACGACTAAATGTAACTTCACAAATATGGCGTGGGATAGTTTTGGAATTGAGTCCCGTGATCCATTTTCGAGCTGCGGCTAGATCCTCATTTGAGTCTTGGGGGCGTTCCGTGGCGGCCGCTTGTTTAGAAGCGTATGTTCTTGCGGTGAAGGCGGAGAAAGAGGGAAGAGAGGGGAACCAGTGAACTATCCGAGATTGTAAACGAAGCGTGACCATTCTCTCGGATATGTATCGCTGGCTTTTTTTTTCCTTTTTCTGGTTTCTTGCTGATATCCTTTCTAGGGGGTGTTAATTTAATAATAACCGGTGTAGGTAACCGGGAACCAGGACATTGAATTAAGGATAAGATGCTAACCGGTAACAAGCATGGGGATCTTCTAGAAATCCGACTTAGCTTCAAGGTTAGTTGCCGGGAGAGACACACTGAGCCCGATACTTGGCGCTATAGCCGATCGGGAAGGTCAAAGGAGGAAGTGGATATTTCCCAGACTGGATACCGTATACTTCCGCGGGCTGTTGGCGGGGGAAAAAAATCGTCGGTACCGTTCGATGATAATATTCACCTTATAGTCATTAAACTAGTATTTAATACTACGAGGTCAGTTGATCTTATGAATCTCATACTCGGGCATCTTAAGGTACAGGGGTAGCAACAATCATGACAATTTGTTAACTCAGCCATATACACATATATAGCATGTACATGGTTAGACGGAAATCCTCCGGTCTTAGTACCAGGGTCTGGACCTGACCCTAAGAAATACGACGTTGACGAATAATAAGCGCCGTTTCCAACAAGTTCCAGGGGAAAGCATCCAGAGCATTGACCCACAATACTTAGGTCTGGGCTGGGTCACCGATCCATCCAGTCAGACTGTTGGCATGAGGACACCGCCTTGCCCGATGAGGGAAAGCGTGTACAGTGGTTTGTGCCGCATTGTACGCTGACGTGCGCAAACCGTAACTTTACAATTTTTTCCACCTTTCCTTCTCATCCTGCCATGCGATTTTTCCCTACCACGCTGCCACGCTACGACTATTGACCCATCTGAATTAATTAACATCGTGTGTGTGTACAACTAAAAAAAGGATCTTCACCTTTCTATCCTGGTCACCTTACCTCTCCCGAAGTACATTAGCTCAAGTTTTTTTGCGAGTCACTTGCCCCTCCGGTCCCCCCCTCCCTTCTCATCGGTCCTCCCCCCCAAACCAATCTACTAATTCTGGCGTCGTTCCATACTATTGTTGACTAATTCTTGACGATTAACGGAAGAATCCTTCTCTCATCGGTTCATCATCGTGGTACTGGACTACTCCGGTCATCACGACACTTACTAGATCTTTCCATTACTGACGTCCGAGCTTTGTCCTTTCCCTTCCCTTGTTATTATATATCCTTATCCTTGGTATTATTTTTTTTTAGCTTATCGGACGCCCTCGGTTTCTCCTCCCTACCCATTTTCCCTCCTCCTTCTACTTACTTGAACTACTGGGAACTGTCTGCCTTGTTTTTCTGATCGGCAAACAAATCAAACACCCATCTCTCCCTCCCTTCATCTCCTTCCAAGCTTTACGTGTTCTCTCTATCTCTCTCTTCTTCTTCTTTCTCTTTCTCCTTCTCCTTTACCGCCCACCGGAGCTCCCAACGGCCCGGTTCTTTTTTCCAAAGATTAGCCCCACCTTAGCTTGGTCGATTTTGGAAAATCCCTATTCCCTTGTGGTCCTGGATTTTTTTCGCGTGGTTTTGTAGATGAATCAATTCTTCATCATTGGTCTACATGACGCCCAGCTCTCCAGATGAAGCTCTTCACTTTCGTGGCAAGACCTTGACTCCCGAGAGCCCTCGTCCGCTACATATCGCGGAACCAGCCAATATTCCGGTGCTTCAAAATCAAATGGACCCCGTCTTTAACGATACTTCGACTTATGAGAAGTCCGAGTCTGCTTTTGAACACCGCGCCCAGCTGCACATTAATCCGCCGCCCCGTTATGGCCATTATGCTGGGTCCGGGGAGGTAAAGGAAAACTATGGCTCCGTGCAGGCTCCCGGAAAGTTCCAAACACAAATACAAACACAAGGTAGCTACCACCACTCTGGTGCATTTCAGGAGGACAATGGTTCGATGAATAAGGACTCTTCCCCTACTTCAGAACAATCTGCATATGCGTCTATGGCCCCTGCGACCACCTCTGCTGCGCAGGGATCTGAACCAAACTCGTCTCTAACCGCTCTTCCTCCATCAGATTCCGCCACCCATCTAGCTCATCACCCTTTCCCTCCCCCTGCTTCCCATGCTACCCAGAGCATTCCCACTGCGAGCGCGATAGACCATGCAGCCTCTTCCTGGGCAGCTTCGTCGGCTCCACAGAATCGCTTAGACACCCACAACAACCCACATAACACTGCTGAGGATGGTGTGGATTTCCAGAACCTCCTCGATAATCTTCCCCCTTCCTCCACTGCCGCTCCCTCTGCCCCTGCAGTATCGGAGGTGGATCCCTACGTGGACGCCTCTGCGGACCCTCAAGCAACAACTGATGAAGCTCTCCAATCTTCCCTGGGCCTCCCCCCTCGTCCCCCACCCCAGGAGAAGCCTTCTATCCATCCCAATTATAACCCCAGTGATGATATCCGCTCCTATCATCAGCTCCCCCCTCATGCGTCTAACGCCCAGCCCTCATACTCTGCCCAGCAAAGTAATTACCAGTCTAATCCCGCACTCCCGCCTATGGCAGTAGCCGGCGCTCCAGGGACATCCTCGGGCGTCAGCGCTTTACCTCCACCTCCCGTGGCTAGTTTCCAGCAGTCGCCCCCGGCAACGGCAGAGACACAGGCACCCTCCTCCCCGGGGTCAAATAAAGCAGGGCGTGCGGATAGGCAGCAGGGTCGTCAAACTAAAAGCGCGGATGAGGATACTCCTTGGGGGCCAGACGTACAGAAGAAGTATGACGAGTTTTTACATGATGAACGGGTGTATGTCACAGAAGGACTCTGGGATCGTTTCCCGGCGGGGTCCAGGTTGTTTGTAGGTTAGTATCGACAACCTTTCTTTTTGAACTGCGACAGGCAAGTAACTAACATCTCATTTTCCCGACAATTACAGGTAATCTGCCCACAGAACGGGTGACCAAACGAGATCTATTCCATATATTTCATAAGTACGGGAAGTTGGCGCAGATATCTATCAAACAGGCGTACGGTTTTATACAATTCCTGGAGGCCCCAGCCTGCAAACAAGCGCTTGATGTGGAGCAGGGGGCTGTGGTGAGGGGGCGCAAAGTTCGTAAGTATCGGTTATCTCGATGTGTTGTGATTGCTCAGTCAAACTAACGCGATCTCTTAGACCTTGAAATCTCCAAGCCACAGCGGAATACAAGGCCGGGCCCAGTTCCTGCAGAGCCTTCCCGCGCTCTGCCAACTCGGCGGTCAAGGTCTCCCGAATATACCAGAGGCGGTCCTCCCAGCTGTCGCAACCCAAGGGTTCCTGCGGATCGATACGATCGTCCTTACGAATCGCCCAGGGTTCCCTTCAGTGATTTCAGAGATGAACCTACCCATCGTAGGCGCGATGACTATCGGCCTCCCCCTCGATCCCCATCCCCTCGTGGCTTTCGTGGAAGGGACGGATACCGTTCCCGGGATAGAACTCCAGAGCGGTACGATCGACGCGAAAGACGCCGGTCCCGATCCCCGTATACAAGGGATCGACGATACCGCAGCCCCAGCCCGCGGCCTCGTGGCTACGAGGGTGATGTGGAGTTGCCGGTGCCTAGACGTGCCCCAAGAGATGTCCCAGAGGTGCAAATCCTTGTCTTGGAGGAGGTTGACCGGTTGGTTCCGCTTTTTATCCATTCGTACTACGATAGTTGCTGACTATCATTCCAGGAACTTCATTTTTCACGTGGAGAATGCCTTCCGCAATAGAGGTCTTCGAGTGGATGTTTTGGTGTTGGGTCCCCGGATTCCACTGAACGCTGCTGTACAACGGCAGATCAATGAAGGTGTGCTTGCTGTGGTCAGGCTCGCCCGTCCAAACCAGTTCTCCAGGAAGATCCCTTTACAAGTTTTCGATCGAAGCGGAGGTGCGGACAATGTCCGATTTAATGGTAAGTACATGAATGAGCCTGTCTGAAGAAGACCTCGCCCACTGATATCCCGTCAGAATACCCCGATGTCGAGCCGAATATTGCCGCCGAGATTGTCTTCCACGCTCAATCAGTGCAGCGCGGCGCGCCTCCTACTCCTTTCCCTCCCAATCCCGCATTCGGGGTCCCACCCCTAGCTCCTCCGCCCATACCACAGGCTTCGTTACCTCTATCTAACCCCCCCAACATCGCCAATCTAATTACGTCCCTGGACGGACCTACTCTACAGTCTCTTTTGACTGCACTCCAGCAGCGGCAACCCACCGTTCCAACTGCGCAGCCACCGTTTCCTGCTCCCGCAGCATCAACACCCAATGCCGGTGCGGATCTGGCCAGTCTTTTGAGTGCTGCTACACGACAGCCTGTTGCTACCAACCCACAGCATCATCTACCTCCACAACCATTTCCCATCCAAGCTCCCACTGCTCCGGTGGTGTCTGATCCGAACTTGATCTCACTGCTCGCCAAAGGCTTGGGAGGGCAGCAGGCGCAGAATCAGGCAGCCGTCGGCCCTCATGTACAGAACATCATGAATCAATTGGGCAAATGGAAGCAATGATTTATGACTCATTTTCTTTCTTTCCTCTATTTTTTCATTGACATACTTCCTCCGGGTCTCTATTATCGTTTACAGAACATCATGGAGCATGGCGTTAATTTCGATCGATCGGTTGAGATGACTATCCAAGGCAATGGGTCTTAGCCATCGGAAACGATCATATGGCCTGGTTGTCGATTTTTGTTTACGTTTTCCTTCGGTTCTTCACGTGTGTACATGCAACAAGGAGTGCGACATGGCTTTGCTTTTCTACTTTCTATAATCACCGGGCACCTGGACAATAGATCTTTATGGGAATATGGTGTCTTCATCTGTGTTGTGGTGTTATTTATATGGTTTTCTCCGACGGCTATTTGTGATACACTAGGGCGCATAGCGTTCAGCTGGAGTAATGACAAAGACGAATAATTCTATTACTAGGGCGTTTGCAAAGTAGTACTGAAGAGTGTAGATAATAGATAGATAGATGTACAGGGACTGGAAGTATATGAGATGGCACATTGAAATGACGGAAGTGGCATAAATATGTAGTACAGAGCCTTTCGGCTTCGATTCGAAGGGGTCGTCTCTCACTTTCCCGTGCTCTTTTCATTTTTCTTTTCCTTAATCCAAGAACCTTTTCACCGAGGATTCCATCCTTGTGCCTTCAGGTCTCGGACCTTTGCTGCATCCTCCTTCTTGATTTTCTCAATTGTCTTGTCCCGGTTGTACTCCATCACCCGCTTCTCCTTGAAATATTTGACCTGTTCGGATTGCACCGTCAGCAATCGGATCTAGCCGACGCGAGCCAGCATTTGCTCTCGAGAGTAGGCTGGACAGTAGGGTTATGTCCTTCTGATAGAGGACACTGAGATACGGCACATACCCAAGCCTTTGCACAAGCCGACTCGAACTCCGCAATCTCCTTTCCGCATTTCCGTCGCGCTTCCTTGTCCTCTTTGATCGCGTCTAGGATGTTATTGTCGTCTAAGCAGGAGAAAAATAGATCGCGACCCTCCCAGCACTTCTGTCGAGAGGACCGATCGGGGGCTATGCGGCCGCCGTCGGAAGCGGTGCTCTTCGAATCGTCGGAGGACCAGGGTAACCAGCCCATTGTGTGGTAACGGTTGACTGGAAAAAAGAAGGCAGGCGAAAGGTGGTGCGAAGTATGTATCGATCGCAATCACTGAGTATGGGTATATTAAAATCAAGTGGGCTGTCACAAACTAGTAAGGATAAATATATAGTAAGTAGTTAAAGCAAGAGATGAGCTTCCCCGGTCCGCATGATCTGCGGTCCCTTTCCTTTCTGCCCGCTTGGCGGCTCTTTCTAGTGGCGCCACAGTAAACTGCTTTCTTCATTTACCACCATCAGATGATGTTCCAACATACCATCAACTTTTCGTCACGGCCTTAATTTATCTGCGACTTGATCTCTTTACCCACTCGTAGGCCCAGAGCACTTCTCAACAGAAAGGGAAAGGAAGGCACCGGGTGTGTTCTCCGCGGACCGGCATCCAACAATCTCACCGGTTCTTCTCTCAGCAAAACCACCAAACCCCACTGAATTATACACACCGGGTGTGTACCGCAGATTAGTTCATGCCCCCGCGCCGACGGCCTCCTCCAGGGCGGGCTCGGACAGACCTTCCGCCGCTGAAGATCGTGCGGAAGATTGTCATCTTACAGCTTGCCTATTATGTCTCAGCGACGGCCCTGATCTTGTTTACCACTCTTGTCTATGGCACCCAATTCTCCTTGGACTTGGTTCTCAGCTGGGACTCGCTGAGGGGGGACACCACTCTTGGATGGATGTTGGGGTTGGTGTGGATGCTAAATAGCCTTGCAGGGTGAGCTTGCCCTTGTTACTTTGCTCTCTTGACGAGGATACATGTCTAACCACTCTTCTCATAGAATAATCTTCCTTCTAGTTCTTGTCGTCCGGTCCAAGCTCATTCCCGATTTTGCGCTTACTATTCATTTCCTGCATTTCTTCGCGACGTCCCTTTACACCCACTCCATCCCCTCCAACTTGCTTTGGTGGGGTCTTCAGTGCGCCAGCGCTTCTCTAATGACCTTCGGCGGTATCTGGGCTTGTCAATGGCGGGAACTCAGACCTATCAGCCTTGGTGGTATCGCTGGTAGCGGCACAGGACAGTCGGCCGGAAGTTCATCTCAGCCCGCGGCCGATGAAGGCAGTCCGTCCCGAGGAAGGGGCCGGGAACGCAGCTTGCAAGGTGATAACGGCGAGTACGAAATGGCCGAGATGAAAGGAGTTAGTGAGCAAGCAGTATAACTTTTCTATTATGTCGTCATTCTTTCTATTGTATTTTTCTCCTTTTTTTTCATTTTCATTTCTCTTTTCTGGGCATTGGTGCATGGCCGACTTGCATACGGATCTTTATATATTATCAGATACCCTCGCTTGTTGGTACCTGTATAGATGGCATTCAGGTTGGAGCGTCATCCTCTTTATTTTGTTTGGATTATTCATTTCCACCTTTTTGGCGACACTCTTGGACTTGTGCAGGCACAATGTTCCGTAATATCCTCTAACTGGGGATATGTTATGACTTTGAATAGTAACATCATCTGATGTTCCAATGAGATCGATATATTGGCCCCGAAGGAAGTGCGCCTTCCATGAACATCGGTTGTTCGGCGGTATGCGCCTATAGTATTCCTTCTCCCGCCTATTCAACAAGATTTATCTTCAATGCGGGGACACTACTCCTTTAATTCCCACTTCAACTGATAAGACATGGGGTAGAGATGTATATATATATATCCCCTCAGGGTTGTCTCATTCAACAATATCTAGTTACTATTTATTGCATTAACTTGGAGTTATTTATCCAAAACATAATTTAGTCAAGATGTCAACTTCAACAGCCACCGAAGTTGCTACCCTGCAAAAGGTAGACTACAGTGGGATGAATATTAAGCCTGCCGTCGAGGATAAAACTTTCCAGGCGACTGCCCGTGGCGACCGTAAAGGAACGCTCAAATTACCTGGAATCCCGGTATTCAATGACCTCTACGAGAAGCGCAAATGGATGAAGGAGCACATGGCGGCGGCATTCCGTTTCTTCGGAAAGCATGGACACGGGGAGGGTATCTCGGGACATATTTCCATGAGAGGTGAGCGCTATTTACCCCTGTGTACCTAGTGGATACTAACAGCACCTCGTAGACCCCATCCTGAAAGACCACTTCTGGATGAATCCATATGCCAAGCATTTCTCAGCCATGAAAGCTTCCGATCTTGTCCTAGTCGACCAAGACGGCTATGTGACAGAAGGAGGAAACCAGGCGCCCATTAACGAAGCCGGATTCATGATCCATTCGGAGATCCATAAGGCCAGGCCCGATGTGGTTGCTGCTGCCCACACCCACGGGGTCTATGGAAAGACGTGGAGCGCGTTTGGGAAGAAGGTCGAAATGATCTCTCAAGGTATGTTCTTTCGCGAGTCGTGTAAACTCCTCGGGGGTGCTGACCGGCGTAGATGCGTGTAATTTCTATGGAAAATTGGGCGTTTATCTTGACCATGGAGGAATTGCATTGGCTCAAGAAGAGGGACGCCAGATTGCGAACGCTTTAGGGAAGGGTAACATGGCTTGTATTTTGCAGAACCATGGGTATTCTCTATTCCCAGTTTCTGCTTTGTCGTACATTTTGGCTGATGATGTACGCAGTTTGCTAACCGTAGGCACCACTGTGGATGAGGCGGCCTTTCTCCTCTCCAGTTTGGATCACGCGTGTCATTCTCAGCTAATGGCTGAAGCGGCCGCTGCCAACGGAATCGAGAAGCAAATTATCAATGATGAAGTGGCCGAGTATTCGGCTAAGGCAGTTCAAACTCCGGTCTGATTCTCTTTAGTTTTGTTGGCGGCAATTCTGAAATGACACATACTGATGACTATCCACAGCATCATTTCTACACCGAGTTTCAGCCTGAGTTTGACCTCATTGTAGAGGAGACCAACGGACGAGTCCTTCTGTGATTCTGTAAGAACTGGACCTAGGGTGCTGGAGTCGGAATCATCTCTAGCTTTGTTCCGTTTCTCATCTAAGGAATCATACCACTAGGATATCACCGAGCTTCAATGAAATTTGTACTGCTAGATAAGAGAAAAGGAGAAGGAGAAGGAGAAGGAGAAGATGAAGAAGAATATCACTCGTCATCTGTCTTCAGCCCATGAGGCTATAAGTTTATTATTTATATTCATTCCACCTAGATTTACTGCGACTGAAACGGCCCCCATCACTACGGTAGTGTCAACCCTCTGCCTTAAAAGACCAACATTGAATACAGGGTCAGCGCTATTCTGCGCATCCACTTCATGATCTTGACTACCATTGCCTAAAAAAAATCAAGGTCTACACCAAAGATCATAAGAATGCCGAACTACATCCACTGAGGCTTTTCTTTCTCCCAACGCTGGCCTGTCAGGTTCCATACTAAGGAGACTAGAGGTTAGGTGCAAGAACCCTCAGACCCCTTAATATCGGAGGATCTTAGTGAATCCCTTACACGGCCTATGGACAAGAGACCGATTCGATTCGACCATTATAGATCCCATTGCCCTCCACATGGTCTTACTTCTCCTCAGACAAGACAACTAATTGGGGTGGCATTTTTCCTTTTTGCTGGTCCCCAATTTTCTTCTCTTACTCTTTCTCGCCGACATATGTCCCTTGACTTCGTGAAACGGCAAAAACAAGGCAAGATAACCACCGGATTCGCTGTCTGCAAGAACGGCTCCTGTCTTCGCACCGAGAACGACTGTGGTGAGACAGTTGGCGGGCTTCGCGGCTGCTGACCGGGAGGTAGATTCTACCCTCACGCCTACAACATCGATTGCTGCCCGGCTGGAACGAATCGCACGACATCGCTAGTGAACTAACCGAAATGTGCGAATGCCACCTGGAATCTGTATGATAATGGAGGGTACTATTATTGTTGCCCACACGATACAATATGATTCGCGCTGGCAGGAATCTTTGACGGATGTGCTGGGGCGGGATATTCGTTTGGCGACGAAGATACGGTGTTGAAGGTTATCTCTTCGGGAACTGGTACGTAGACCATTAACTTGTTCAATTATGTATATACACCTGTTCATGCCAAGCAGGTGTTTAATATTTACGTCCATGCCTGATCGATCTATGACCCCAGTGGCACTGCCTTCGGCAACATCTACAACCTCAGAAACCTCCTCGACTTTTTCAACGACATCCGCTACAGATAGCTCTGCCGCTACTACAACGGTAGCACCTACTCAAACATCACCAGCGCTATCCTCCTCGTCATCGTCTGGGGTAAACAAGGGCACAATCGTAGGTGGTGTTGCCGGCGTAGCTCTCATTGCAGCCTTCCTTTGGCTCTTCATGAAGGGCCGATCACGGCCTCAGCCTATACCCATACATGGCGGTGATATACCGATAGCTGACTACAAGTACATGCAAAGCTCGCCCGTAGAAATAGACGGACGAAGATACCCTCATGAGCTGGAGAGCCGACCTAATCAGTCGGCTCTCATGAGTTACCAGTGGAGCTTCCAGGTCGGTGATGGGGGGAAGGAACCGAATTGATATTGGGTGGATAACTCTCTTATATATCTCTTTTTATATGTAATATGTACCTTGCTTGGAGCGGTGCAATTTTTGATCTAATCCTACTACCTTTTTTTGCTTTTCCTTTTCCTTATTTCCCCTATTGCTGAGGATCGTATGTGGCATCGATCTCATTACAAGACATGTTTGTACTTCTTCATGTCCTCAACTCATATTCACGTTCACAAAAGGGGCCACTGCGGAATCAAGCAGTATTGATATTGCATCTGGTGTCTAGAGTGTCTAAGACGGACATTTACCCCTGCAGGAAATCACGTAATAATACGACCTTAGATTTGATGTAGACATAGCATGTTCACAGTACATAATTACCCGAATATTAGCATTATCGCCCGGTCATTAGGACCATGTGTCATGCTCTTCTTCCCTGCGAATATGCCGAGGCATGGACCGGGATGCATAAGATATGTTTAGTATGCAACCATCGAATAAACTTGGAGCGATTGTTTGTTGTGCGCGGTGGAAGTGAGGGCAAAACCATGAAAGATGTAAGGGAAGTATATTGAGGGGAGATATACACACTATAGTGCCTTGGTCTACCTAAAATTGACCATACAGTGCTAAATTTATGCCTTATCGGCGAGTAATATTGACCTGCTTTTTAACTAACTTATATACTATGATGACTAATCACTAGACCCAAAGAAGCCTAGTTCCCACACATGGCATGAATGGACCTCCCGAGCAACATCGCATACATACTCCATTCTCGCTCTGCAATTAGCAATTGGCTGGCCATGACCGGGTTCATAGGTCTCAACTCGATAAATTTGTCGCATGGCTAGTCGACTGTGCTGGATTTTTCACAGTGTGAAGAAGACACCCTGTTTTGCCCCGTTTAATCTTGCCTGATTTGATACGATACCCAAACTCGTTTTTAGCTTTCATCAGTCTACATTCTTCACATTTAGTCTCATATTGAATCGACTTTACTACAGGCGTTAATCTCCAGAGAAGAAGTTATCGGAGGCTCATCATGGCAGAAGGCGAACCGTCTTACATTGACTATGAGGCCTTCTTGGACCCTGACTTCTCTCCTGCCTCTTTTGCCAATTCATTGGTCCTAGCCACCAACAATGCGACAGATACACCGCTGGATCTGTCGACTCCGCTGTCACGAGTACTCTTTGATCTGCAGGAGATCGACACTCATATTCACACGCTGACCACCAAGTCAGCCCTCCCCTTACTGACGCACACGCGGGATCAAACAGCAGCGGCAGGTCACATTCTTCAAGAAGCTGAAGAACAAGTCTCCTCCGTGGCCCAGGGGTATGAGCGATTAGAGAAAGAGGTCCTACGAAAGTGGGAAGCCGCAGATGAGGTTAGGATAGCTACGGAAAAGTCACTAGCTACCGTACGGCTCGCAAGAGCGGTTGCGCGCTGTCTTACCCTCGGCAGACAGCTGGAGGGCCAGCTTGCTGAGGTTACCGGCCGCGGGGGCCTTTCATCAGGGAACGATGGAATGTCCCCCGCCCCGGCCAGGGATGATTACCGCGCTCTGGAACGGGCAGCTTCTACAATCGTGAGTCTCCGTCGGATGTTCACTGCGACGGGCCTGGGAGAGGAAGGCTATGGGTTAGAGAAAGTAAAAGTCATCCGAACCTTAAGGAATGAACTTGTGATCCCCTCTGAGAACATGGTGAAGTCGAGAGCGCAGCAAGCGATTAATCGGTTCACCATGTCCTCAATCTCAGCCAGCGGCGGTGCCCATGGCCAGTCGGGCTACAAGCAAGCCCGCGATGCGAGAGCGCGACTGAGCTCTGCGACCACAATCCTATACCTGTTGTCGCCAATACCCAAGGATTTGCCCACGGCATCGGACTTTCAACCCGAGCTGCTGCTCTCCACATTTCAAGGATACATGCACACGGCGATCATGACGTCCTTGAACGCTCTATCTCGATCTCTGTCTATGCTGCCATCCCTTGATAAAACCCTGTCCGACATCTCCGTGAAATGTCAGGATATTTATGCGCTTGAATCCATCCTGGGCAGCCTCCGACCACCATCACATCCGCTCTTCCCTCCAGCACCTCCCGAGCGCAACGGCGATCAACGCGAGTCCCAACCACGTGGCAACAAGAACAACCTCCTGCAACCGCTCCTCGCCGCCCTTGACACGCCGTCTCTCCCATCACACTTCTGGCGAACGCTCGCCTCATCCCTCACATTGCGCGTGCAAGAGATCGTCAACCGTGGCGGCGTCTCGGCCAGAACGTTGCGATCCAACCGGGATCGGCTCAAGAAGGATATCAAGGAGTGTGTCCTGCGCGGATCGCAGCTCCCGGCCTCGAGCGACAAAGGGCGGTCAGGGATCGACACCGGAAACTGGGAGCGTGAAGCAGCAGTGATGGTCAGTGCTGTGGCCAGTGTACTTGACAGGTGAAGCACAATCCATCATCAGACGTTTTGCAACAGATTGGCGGGATTAGCTTGCTTGATATCCGAATAGATCTACGTTATACCCAAAAGAAAAGAAAAAAAAAAGTTGTACATACACAGACACACACACACACACACACACACATATATATATATATATACATCCATATACCCCCACCCCAAACAAGAACCAACCGCCCTGTTTAATTTAAAATAAATAAGACAAAAAGCAAAAGATCAAGAATAATCGCTCGCACAGGCCACCTGAAGCTCCTTCCTTCCTTCACATGTAAGAAATCTAATCTTCTCCCCGAATCCAAAGCTAACCAGAAAATCCAGGCACCCCATCCTCCGCATCAGCTGATAGCTCCAATAGGCCAATCAATCGCATTTAGATAAATAAATATATATTAGAGAAAGGAAAAAAAAAAAAAAAGTAAGGGACAGCGACTGCTGTACAATCAGTCAGCCCCCGTAAGCAAAGCAATATATTTATTCATAGACTATTGATTGCCAACAAACGCCTGTTGCTGACTTGTCCAGCGGCTAATTAGCGTTAGCGTTTTATTTTATTTTATTTTATTTGTTTGGGCCCCATGTTGATAGGTGCAGTGCAGGTGGGTGGGTTTATGCAGGATGGTTTGCATGACAATTGAGGATTGGAGTTGTTTTCTTATCTCCTAGTACTTCTTCATTATTTATTTGGTGTTATTTTATGAGTGAAGGATTTATTTATTGTTGAGAGATGGTGAGATTGTGTGACTTAGGTATAAATTCTAACTACTAAGGTACTCTATGTAGGGAGGAATAACGTGGGCTAATTGAGCGTGGGTATTGAATCGATTGATGTGCCTGGAGATAGAAGCCAAGTGGATACACAAGCTGGGAGGAGCTGGACGCGCCACTTGGATCCGTATCGGAAACTTTAAGGACATCGGTCCATTTGCTCAGGTCGGGTTCGTATTGACCGTGGCCTGATTGATTCAGGAAGACAATGTCAAGACATTGTCTCAACTCACTATACTATACATAGCCCATCAGGTACGAGTCAATTAATTAACAGGATCCGTCGTTGTTGACAAGAAGTACTTCCAGAGTACAGGTACTAGTACCAGTGAGTACCGACGGGACTAGAGCAGGTACATCTCGGTAGATAAATTTGGAAAACTTAAGGGACTTTTGGTTTTCAAAAAAGACTTAATTTAAGCCCGTGCGCGCGTCCACTCAGCCGGGACAGTTTTTTTACCCCGCTCCAACTTGTGTTGTCTCGATAAGAAAGATGTCGTATCTTTTGGTTTTGGTTTTGGCTTTTCAAGATTCTCGAAATCCCGTTGGAGGTTACCATCCCTGTCAACTTTAATATACCCTGTTTACCGAGATAGTGAAAGATTAAGAAAAAGCTGTGATTGGGAATATCAAAGGGGGAGAGGATCTCGACGGATCGAAAAAAAACGAGGACAACGAAACCTACTACCGGGGGGGTGTGGGGGGAGAAGGCCCCTCCACGTAAACCTTTTCTCCCTCCTCTGAAGTGGTGGCGTCAATGCCCCTTGGCCCAGTCCCTTTTTGGGGAATTTCTGGGATACTTTTCTGGATAGGATGAGGGGCTCACACAACTCAACACAACAATAAGACAGTCGACAGTGTGTTGTTGGTTGAAGGGCCACGTCGATCAGCCCCCACCGGTGCTATATTGTGTATTGTGTCCGCCACTTCGCTTCCCTCACCAATGTGGATTCGTCGGCAGGACGGAGGGGAAATTATTTTAGCTCGGTTTGATTTGATTTTCAATATGTGTTTGAGAGCAATTTCCTTAGTAAGGTAAGGCTAGGAGCAGGTAAGGTACCTTCACGATCAGATCGTCCAATGGGGTGTCCAAGGAGGACGTTTTCCTGCCAGGGCTAATGCACTGTCCGCGTTATTACCAGTAGACAATCTCTTAGTAACTTTACTTGACTTGACTAAGACTGCACTGCGCTTCGAGTCACTCAAAACGTTTGTCCGCCCATGCACTTGTCACCGAAAGGAGACAATAGGACAGGGACATCGCTCCTGGACCACAGGGATCTGCCCCCCCTCCCTCCTTCGGTCACTATGATTTCAAAGTGAAGCACATCATCGCTACATTCTGTGGCGTGCAGAACCGCCGGTGTTTCAGCTTGATCTGGCCGGTTCTCGATTGGCTGTCGAACTGCATCAAGTCGATGTCATCGAGTTTGGGAAAGCTTTCATTGTTTCCGCTTGCAGCTCTTGCTTCGTGATATAGAGTTGAGGATTAGAATTAGAAATACCTCTGGATCCCCAAACTCTCGTGAAACCCTGGCCGATGCGAGATCTTGGGTTGATCCTTCTCCGCATCCTGTCAAGCCCGGCAGTGGCGGTTTACAGACGCCAGCTTTTCTAGTCTGATGTCAAGCAGTTCTAAAGGGAAAAAAAAAAAAAAGAAAAGAAGCAGATTTAAAGTGATTTAAAACACACTATCTAACCCATATTCTAGTAAGGATAATAAAAGAAAAAAAAAAGTCAAAAGTAAAGAAGAGATAAAGAGAGAAGGGGGTAAGATGGAGAAAGGAAGAAAGAATGAATGACTGGACTGAATGAGATGAGCACGGGACCACCCAAACGAGAACCATACCAGCTGCCCGTCAGTGGATTGGTTAACAGCAAAAACAACCCTTGACGAATACTACTACCTAGTAAGTACTTAGTACTACAACTGTCTACTGCCCTAAATGTAAGGTACCTCTCTGTACTCCCCGTTCCTTTACTGTATGTACATTCTGCATGGCATGTCCGCCGAAAAGGATCGTACGGGGAATTCCAACACCTATCGCGTGGAAACCTGCGATCTATCTCTATTCTTCGAATTTGCCATTGTTCTGGGGACATTAACAAACCAAACTACCCGGCATTGGTGATATGCTGACGCGGTCTCTCTTTCCATCTCTTACTCTATTAGTAGGGTTAACCTTAGTTTCGAGGAAGTTGAAAGGCGGAAACTCAGGTATCCTCCGAACTATGGGTATGCCAGGTAGGGTAGAAGAGAACCGTGGCCCGGAAGGATTTGCCATGCACTCTCATCTTGTTCTAGTTCTCAGGTCAACAGACTAGGCCACTGGGAAGATTGACCCTTATATGACCATGCCATGGGGCTTCGTAAATGGAGGACGTCACCAAGTTCCAACAGACCGGTCGGCGCCCCCCGGCTTCTCTGGTCACTGGTCAACCCTTTCCCCATCATCCAAATCATGATTCATGAAACAACGAGAAACCAACGCCACGGATAGGAAATATCTGGGGATATTTCACCCGCTTATCCCCTCATTCTCCCTTCCTCCGCGAAGCAAGTTCCTGGTGCCTTTACATTGATCAACGGAGGAAATGAACGCCTCCAGACCCTGGGAAAGGCTAGATCCATGGTACGGTCGAGACCGTCAGGGTTCGAGACTCGCTCTCTAAGCACTAGGTACTCCACCGGTCACCCAGCCTTATGGGATTACAGACACGGCGGTTCTTTCTGTAGTCCGGTTGACCGACAAATCCTGCGAAGGTCGTCGTTTAACCCGGAGGTTCCTGATACCGTTTTGTTACCGGCCTCGATACCTCCCGTTCTACATCGGGTTAACATGGGTTAGATGTAGGGAGTTCTTTCGGGGTTGAGATGGGACGGATCAGATGGATTATTAATAGCTATCATACCGAAATTTCCGAGATGGAAGTTTCCAATTGATTTTTCTAGTGAACCAGAATGCTGTATGATTCAGCCATTACGTTCCTCCAACTGCTTGAAAGTAAAAACAGAGGAAGAAGGATTTCTCGTATGGAGACTCCACTACCTCTCTGATTCGTGTCGGGTGGTCCGGACCAAAGTCGTCAGTACCTGGAACTAGGTAAAGTTTACGTCCTTCGTCTCTGTATATTGTATCACCGGTGAGTTCATTCTTTTTTGGCTGACTGGTACATCGTCCCGTATGAGTTAGTAGTCGAGTAGGGTAGTGATATATTAGAATGGATGTTGATGAGAATCCTGTATTGAGGTGGTAACGGCAATACCACAACAGGGCTTCGCGGTTTTTTGGCGCTGCGACCATGCTTTGCGACAGCTTACTTTTACCCTTTTTAAATCGAGTGTGCATTCCCTTTGAACCATTCAAACGGAGTGAAGGAGAAACTAGTACTGTAAGTAACTATAATTAATCTAGACTTATGGTTCATTCTTCCCCCCTCCTTCTGCCCCTCGTTTTTGCCGCCTTGTCTGCTCACGACCGTTGTTTCCGATAAGCCTCTAGTCAATACCAGACAGACAAGACGGCTTTGAGTTGGTCTCCAGTTTTCTTTTCTTGGGTCCTTTTTACTCGCGCTTACAGCTCTTTTTTCCTTTTTTTTCTTTTTCTTTTTCTTTTTCTCTTTCTCTTTTTTTCTTTTTCTTTTTCTTTTTCTTTTCTTTTCTTTTTTTTTTTCTTACACAACCCTTTTCCGTTTCTTTCTCCTCATCCTTTTCCCTCCCAATTCCTCTTCCAGTCTGTATCGTCGTCACCATTCATCCATTCGGGGAGTGGATTCGCCGTCATCCAAAATACTTCTACTTTCGCTCTGGCCGTGCATCTTCTTCCTGTTCCTCTCCCCTTCTTTTCTTTCTTTTCTCCTCCCATTTTTTTTGTTCCCCTTCCCGTCTCAGGTCGGCTTTAGTGGCCTTTCCATATCATATCATACATATATCTTACCCTTTTGATTATTATACTTCTTCTGTATCTCTTCTTCTGGCCCTGGTGCCTGTACATCCACCCGCCCACACGTCATATTTGGATATTTCCATCGGACCCTTTTCTTAGTTTTATTTTTACTTTTATTTCTTCCTTTTTCTCGGGCCAATCGATAACCCTGGGAAATAGATCATTTTTGGACAGATTCTGGTTAATTTTTCCTTTTTTTTTTTAATATTTTTTTTTTTTTTTTTAAATTTATTTTAGTTCAGGTCTTGGCCGGGGGATTGTCATACCCACAACCTGTACTCGACGACTGAACTGAAACACTCCTCTGAATCCACCCCAAACTTCTCTCTCTACCTTGAGACCAGCACTTCTCTTTCTCTTTCTCTTTCTCTCTTGCACTACCTGACATCCACCTCGCTCCCACGTCAGCCTTCTTGCTCCACGTTCAGCGTCTCCCTGGCCAGGCACTTCTGCAAGAAATGTTTCCTTGATCCTAATGGTTGTGCCCTGCCACCTTACCGTGTACAACCTACCTACTACCCTTGCTTCGCCATCATCGTCGGGCAGTCGGCTAAAAACAATCATCATCAACCTCCTGCTACATTCCACTTCCACTTCCACCTCCCCCTCCCCTCCCTCTCTATCTCATCCCTGGACCGGATTTGGAATAAGGAAAAAATATCCATCCGTAAGTTAATGACACCAAGCAATAAAGAAGCAACGACCCCCCTTTGGGTCCCTCGTTCCTCTCCTCCCTTTGCGTCAAAAGAGTACGGCCCACATGCTGACAGGAGTTGCGCAAGGCGGTACAGTAGTCAGCTTCGTGGGATCGACACCGCGTTTTCTCGACTCCCGAGCCTTCCCAGCCATTTTAATTGAAACATATCGTGTTTGATGGGCCGAGGGTCATCACCTGAATACCCCCTTGCCGATCAGTATATAGACCCTATATCGGCCCCCTTGTCAATATGTCTTCGTTCTTACCTGTGAATAATATCTCGTCGCCTCAAGACCGTGTGATGGAGGATGCGACGCCACCGACCACACCGCGACCCCATTTAGCTAACGTACCTGAAGCGCAAGACCCCGCGAAACCGGTGGAGGTGGAAAAAGATGGCAGTACGCCGCGCAATGTAAATAATCCTGAGCATTCTCAGCCGGCGGGCTCTCAAGGGAGCGTACCATCAGTGTCCGAAGAGACAACGCATGGAGATTCGGAGGGTGACCATGATGGTTCAGACCATGACTCGGATCACAAGGGCAACGCTCCCCCATCGAAGAAGAAAAAGGGACAACGGTTCTATTGCACGGATTACCCGCCCTGTAATTTGAGCTTTACTCGGAGTGAGCATCTCGCCAGGCATATACGGAAACATACTGGGGAGCGCCCCTTCCAGTGTCATTGCTCAAGACGATTTTCTCGGCTCGATAACCTGCGCCAGCATGCTCAGACCGTCCACGTGAATGAGGAGATTCCGGGCGACTCCCTGGCAGCTACTGGGACCCGGTTTCAACGTCAGATTCGAACCGACAGAGTGCGTCCCCAGGGTCGAGCCAGGGCGGGGACTGGAGGTAGCCAGGGAACCCATAGCAGAGGTCACAGTCGAAACTTGTCCGCATCGAGTATCACCTCGACCGCATCCACATTTAGCCAACCCCAGGAGCTTCGTCGCCGCCCCCCGCCTCTGATCATGGCAAATGATGGACGAGCCCGTCTCGCTCTAGATACAAGGGCCGATCCCCCGAGTACCCCGCCCGGTCAAGTCCGTGGGGTACCGGGCCCAGCTGTGGCCGGCTCTCCTTACGCGGCTTCTCATATCTTCTCCACTGGAAACAATGGTAGTCCTCACGTCGCCTCGCCGATGTCCGCTGCATCACATGCGTCCGGCTTTTGGGATGGTAAAACCGCTGCACGTCGCTTGTCCGTGCCCACAGGAGCTAATCCGTTCGCATCACAACCTGTCAACCCGTACCCTCCAGGTTACGCCAACGCGGGCTCGACAACTACATACCACCCACCGGGAGATGTGTACGCAAGTCCAGTGAGCTCCAACTACTCTTTATCGCGGGATGAGGCCGCCCACAATGCGGCGGATGCGGACTTGCGAAGACGCACGTGGCATCCGTCTACGTACTCCGCCGTCTCTCGGCCCGTCGCCGGCGGTTACAGCAACTACCAGTCTCCTGAGACATTCCCGCAGTCGTATGGCGCTAATGCGCAGGATGAACAACGACCGCGGTTGCCAGGAATTGAGAGTTTTGACAAAGTCGTCTCGCAGCGACCGTTAACCCCGCCGGTCCGCAGGCCAAGCCCGATGCACCTTGATGCTGCCAACAAACCGCCACTGAATTATACCTTTGGGGGAGGGTTCAACTATAACAAGCCATCAGTTCGGCCACCCCCACCGATTTCCGGCCCCGGGCATCGACGGGGTCATGTCTCCTGGGACATGTCACTGCACACGAACTTGACTGGATTGCATATCAGGGACAAGCCCCTCCATAAAGATGCATCGCATTGGAGCCAGCAAACTATAGCAGAAATTCATAATGTTAGTTCTCGCCCGTCGACGTCCTACCAGCCACAGCAACAGTTTCAGGATTACCGAGGGCATCACTCGCGCGGTCCAAGTTACAGCAGCGCCATTCATGCTGCCCGAACATCCCCGGAGGATTCGAGTAGCAGCGAAGGGGTCCACACCCCATCGACGGCGTCTCTTGAGTATCACCCTGCCATTGTACACAATAACGGCTACATTGAACCGCATCACACCCCCTTCTCAACCGATACGTCTCAAACAGTACGCCCCCGCTACCCGATGACTCGATAACGGCCAGGTCACTAATGGAACTATAGGCATCTCAGTCCGATGGGTATCACAGTAAACCCGATCCCCGAACCGACTTCTTCAACAACACCAGCAGAGACTCTGGGATGGGTAGACTCGAGGCACTTGTTGCTGTTGCGACCAGTGAGAATAAGGGGTCAGCAAAGCTTTTTGCATAGATGCACACTGCCAGGGGATGTCGGCATGGTGACGAAAATCGATCAATACTCAAGAAGGTCGCTGTGCTCGGTCTGGTCTTGCGAATCCGGCAGGAATGCGATCTCTTCTCATATGCTCGGCTTTTACTTCTTTTTTTTTTTTTTTCCCCCTTCTTTTCTCGTGATGTTGAGCCAGTGTTGTATATCACAAGCCGCCTGGCCTTCTCCTATTCTATCTTTTACGCTATCCTGGATATAGCTATGGCGTTTTAAGATCCTTGATCTACCGACGCGTGGGAATCGTTATGAAGTGATGACTGATGAATATGATGCATTAAGTGACTCGATTATCATGGAGGGGGGTTTAACTCGTGGCTACCAGTCTCTTTCGGGTGTCTTCATTTCCTTTTCTTGTTGTTTCCCCTCATCTCTCTCTCTTTCTCATCAGGGTCACACTGGTTTTCGCATGTTCGGGCGTTGTGTATGGGTTTGTCCATAGCGCATGAAGATACCCCTCGGCCTTAATCTCGAGTTCTGCTACGAGGTTCTGGATGGAGTTTTTCTACTCTAGTCGTGGTGTGGCTTCAATTGTTCATTGGGATTGCCTTGTTTATATCTATATATATGGACGTTTCCTTTGTGGGTTTGACGATTGTGTTTTACTAGTACTATCTTCTTCGGTTCTCGACAAGGTTGGTTTTGTGTGCACGTCTTGTGATCAACTAGTTTGCAAATAAGTGAACAATAAATACGGGGGTCACTGTGTTGGCCAAGCACTACGCGTACTTGTTCTGGAACTCTCGTAGTATAGTAGTAGCAATAATGATATGATATGTAGGTGTGATGTGTGCCTGCAGATTGTGGTTCCTAGAACCCAGGAATGGGACGCTTCCAGCCGACGCCCCAAATCGGAACGGACGGCGATGATCCATGACGTTGGGGGCCCCACATAAAATGGACCTCAAATCACTGAGAACATGACTATCAGGTGACGTCGTTGAAATCGATACAACATTTGGTCATTTGGTTGTATTACTATGTATTCCACCTCACATTGGAGAAGTAATAGCTCTCATTCATATATGTCTCTGGGGGTACTGAGGAAGCAGTAAGAGCTAGCTACATACCTAGCTAGTAGAAAATACCAAGAGTGTGAAAATGCGCAATTCAACTACCTAGTAAAGGTAACTCCACGTACAGGGGGTATGATTGAAGTAATACCATGTACCAAGGCAGTCCTGCGAAAACACGACCCAAAGCAAAAAAAAAAGAAAAAGAACAAGGAGGAAGCCCCAGAACGCAGACGTCATACCCTATGACTTGAACTCTACCCCGGACTCTTATAACCCTACTTACTACCTCACCTCAACTTCTCCGAGTTCAGTCCATTAGACTCTCATACATCATTGAAACGAAAAAAATCCCCGAACTGGAATTCCAGTACCAAGTTTCTCCCCTCTACCGAACCTAAATACAATAACCTCAGCCTCAACCTACGAACTATATCCGCTACAATGTCGAAGAACAGAACCGGACTCTACGCTGCCCTCGCTGCTGCCGGCGCCGGCGGGTACTATCTGTACAGGGCTGGCGGTGACCCCAAGGCCGCGAAACAAGAGATCAAACGTATGCCAGCTCCGCGTTCATCCCTTTCTCCCTCTTTGAGCATGCGATTTGTTGACTCGAGTCTCATTGTAGACGATGCCGAGCTAGCTCGCAACAAGATCCCGACGGACAAGGCCGAGAGAGCTGGCGAGAAGGTTGGTTCGGAGGCCGGAGCCCACATCGATGAGGCGGTATGTTCTACCTAGGATTTCTGAGTTGTATATAGATGAACGCTAATATGATCTCAATCAGGTGTCCAACGCCCGCACTCAGGCACAAGACGCCAGTAATCGTGCCTCGGGGCTGGGGCAGGAGAGTCTCGATAAGCTTAAGGGTGCGCAGCAGGAGGCGTCGGAGAAGCTCAAGGCCAATGTTGATAAGTTTGATAAGACCGTGGAGCAGAAGACGAGTGAAGCGAAGGGGACTCTGTCGAGTTGGTGGGGGGGAAGCAAGTGATGTGATTGTTATGTCTAGGGAGTGGATGTAGCGTTTTGTTTACAGTGGTTAGTTCTGTTAATATTCATATTCATATTTTCATTTGAATACGGTTCATGGTGGTCATGGTCGTTGTCTTGATGGGTGGTGTGGTAGTGGTTGGATGTAGGGGTCTTCTTTCTCTCTGTATGTATAGAGTATGGTCTTCAATGGTACCCGCTATGTACTATCACTCGATCGATAACCTTGATAAGGGTAGAGGATGGATTCGATATGGAGCCTTATACTAGTGGTCGAGGTTCGTGCTGTGGTATGTTGCATTCCTGCCATGCTGATTACCGTAGCGATGGAATGCCGTTAATTGAACCTCTGACTAGGGGAGATGCGGTGTCCGGTCTTAAGTTGGGAATTCTCCATTATATGACTAGTCATCTTATAAATAGGTTGGGAATAGACCCGATTTCTTTCTTTTTTTCTCCTTTTTTTTTTTTTTTTTTTTTTC